ACACGCACTCTCTTTGCGAAGCTAAGTCGTTGTACTAGTGTACACTTCATCTCAGTCCCCCCTTTTTTTTTTTTCCCATATCAATCAATCAATGTAGCTTACCTTAATACATAGTCGTCGTAGACTAATGCAAACCGTCATCTTCCCTGTTTCATGGTTGCCCTTTCAATTGCCTCCTCTCCTGATCTTTCCTTTTTTTTTTTTTTTTTTTTATTTTTTTTTTCCTTTTTCTATTGTACTGGTCCACTCGATTTCCGAGAACTACTACTAGTACATGATATACAAATGAATATCCTATATTGGGTCTTACTTTTTGACTTTTTTGTCAGAAAACCTGACAGATCATTTCCCGTCGATTGCAACACAAGAGTCCATGAAGTAGTTAACTCAAGAGAGTCGAGGGGGTCTAGTTTAGTAAGACTGAGTAAAGCGATCGACCAACCCAGATCCTCACATGATCCCTACTTCGATTGCACTCGAGGCGACCTGAAAATTCAGGAAGCCACCTGGAACCCAAACTATCCCTGTTGGGCTTGGAACTCATGGATGAGTCGGAGATTTCTTCATTGGCTCAGCTGAATTTGATGGCTCAGCCATGACGATGATAAAAATCAGAATCATCCTCAAGTATCCGTAATAATGATCCTCCTCAAGTTTCTCCGGTTCCAGATATACCCATACGTAGTAACGAACTCCGTCCCACTAACAAACCCAATTTGATATATACTAATAATAAATTCTCCCGATCTTCAAATCTCGGCAGACACGAACATCCAAATCCAACTCTTTCAACAAATAAAACAAATTGAAAATAGATAAATTGAACTAAAAAAAAATAAAGGAAGACCACCTCCACAGTAACACCGCACCTAAACTCCGAGAAACAAGAGAAGGGTTTCCTTTTTTAAGATTACGATCATCGTTGGTAGACACTTTGCGAAACTGACTTGCATTCTGTACCCCAGACACAAGAAGAGCAGTCTTAAGAACGGGTCTTAATTCAGGGTGCCCTCTGTAAGGGGGGGGGAGGCGCAAAGAAACGAGAAAAAGAAATTATATATGAAGATGGTCGAGGAATCTGCACTCCGGTCTGATAGGTCTGCAAAAGACAGTTGTAGCCCTGCAACGATGAAGTCATACCGACTGTGATGGCCTTTGTTCTTTTACGGGCCCCTCGTCATATACATATCCAGTCATTATTGATATGAGATGGATAGTCCAGGGGATAGACGTGTAACATGAACGCCTCCTCAACTGGTAACTGCTGACATCATTCTGGACTGGTTTCTTGCATGATGATCTGGGTCTCTGGCTTTTCCTTTTCTCCGCAATTATTGTTTGCCTCGTTGCGCTCCGCGTGGATGGCAGAGTGAGATTTGTCGTGGTGATGGTATGGGATAATCCATACTGGGCCCTATCATCGGCTCACAGTCACTTCGGATCCTTGCATTAGACTCACACCAATAACAACTTACAACAACAACAAGCAAAAAAAAAAATATTACTCACACCCCTCCCCATCGACGATGGATAGGGATAGGGATAGGGATCGGGATCGTCTTTGCATCATCCATTGAGTCAGACAGCCGGATGTTTGCCACCCGCTCGAGAGGGAACTGTTGGTCTAGACAATTTAAATCCCTACTCCACCCGGCAATCAGATAAGTGGCAACTTCACCCGATGAAAACGGGGAACGGTGGTTATATTCCCATTGGATCGAGTAAACACAAGTATACTACGATGACATTATACTACTATATACAAGGAACGGTGAGTGGGAGCTCCACTCCTGGCAACGAAGCTAAGTCTTCGGCCGCGAAATGAACGGATGCTTCAGAGCCTCAGCCGGCGTGCACCGCTTTTCCGGGTTCAGACTCAAACAGCGATCCAGCAGATCCACAAACAGTGTCAGCTCCTTTGCCTCGCTGTCCGTCATTCCGCGAGTACCTTTGCCCATCAGCCTCGTTTTCAGATCCCGAGTGGGCTTTTTGAAGTCAACCACCCGCGTGACCAGACGCCCTGTGATCTTGTCTTCTTCGGTGCTGTGGAAATTCAACATGTCGTCAAAATGTATGTGCGTCAGCGATCCCTTTCGCAGAAGCTTGGGCGGGTATTTGCCCCGACATTCCATGATTGACCGTAGCATCTGATTGTTATTCCGCCCCGTAAACAAAATCTTGCCCGTGTACAACTCGAATAACGTACAGCCAATGGACCATACATCAATGGCTTGATCATAGGGAATGCCCAGGATGATCTCGGGGGCTCTGTAGAACCGACTCACAAGGTACGGTGTAATCTCGTTCTCCGTAGTCGACGATGCAGAGCCCAAGTCACAGACCTTGAGGACGTTTCGCTGTTCGTTGACCAGTAGGTTGTCGGGTTTCAAGTCCGCATGGAGGATATTACACTTCCGAAGCAAACTCAGTCCGAGGAAGATCTGCTGTGCGTACGCCCGAATCGCCATTAGGTTCAGCCCAACATCTCGTCCAAATTTCTTCAACACCTCACGTAAGTTCATGCTGAGATTCTCGAAAACCATACAGAGGTGTCCCTTATGATCGAAATGGCGTTCGAATTTGATAATGTGCTTTTTATCATCGGGATCGGCTTCATGGAGCTGTTCCAAAATGCCAATTTCCTTCATACCTGCCTTCCTCATGGTGTCGTTCTGTCGAATAATCTTGACTGCAACCAGCTTACCAGTTTTCGAGTCGGTCGCGCGTACGACGGACGAGAACATGCCTTTGCCGAGGCTCTGCTGTACATGATACCGTCCATTGATCAACTCACCAAGACGCACATTGTAGTATCCTTCCGGATCATCCCAGTTGTCCATCATGCTGATGTCGAGCTCCTGTGGCTGAGGCACGGCTGGCATGGCCGAAGCATGCACTGGCTGTGCTGTATCGTGTGTTTCTTCGGCGAACATGTCATCATCATCCTCTGCAAACATGTCGTATGGATCCTTCGCCTTGGCCTGTTCTTGCTGCACTGGAGCAGCATCGGGGATTAGAACATCCTGTTTGGTGGTTTGCGTCTCGTCGTATGACGCCGCAGAAACGTCCGCACTTGTATGCTTTTCCCTCTCGGCTTTCATGTCAAGAGTGGGGTCATAGTCGGCTGCAGAAGGTTCATCTTTATCAGTTCCATCCACGGGAGCATCGTCATTAACCAACTCAGCATCCTTGCCGATCTTGAAGTCGGAGAACGCCTCTCCAGTGCTGTCGTTTGGTGTTTCGGAAGCTGACAGCTGCGAGTCTTCAGAGCAAATTTTGTATTAGTTCAACAATGCTTCAAAGCCTCTCAGTGGAACGCAGGCCAAAATCCACATACCTGACGCTGCGTTGTTTGTTGCAACAGGCTCGCTAATAGGTGTAGACGAGTCCCTATCGCCTGCGATATGGAGTGCCTGTAAACGTAAAGGCGTAGCCTGGCCTCTATACTTAGCTTTGATAGCTTCACGCCGTTTCCGACGAGCCTCTAATCGAGTTGCTTCGTCAACCGGCTCGGTCGGTTGAGGCTCTTCGTGGGTTTGTTGCACCGTTGCGTTTGTACTAACGGAAATCAGCAAGATATACTCTACATATAAAATCAGCAGTGAAGCATACCCTTCTTCAGTAAGCGACATGGTATCTTCAGAACCTTGCTGCACCTGATTCGTTCGAGTTTCAGTATCACGTTTAGAATCTCGAGCGACGGGTGTTAGCCCTCGTTCGCTCACTAACTGTTCAGTAGACGACCTTCTTCTAGCATCCTTGGAAGCTACACTTTCCTCCCTAGGGGTTTCCCACTCATCACCCGAGTATTGCCTAGGTTTCCGGACTTCGCGGTACGGTGGTGTTCGGCTTCGGGTACGAGGACGCTTATCCCGGCGTCGGTCATAGTCATCGCTATATCGAAGACCACCGCTATAATCCTCCTCCCGATCATAGTCGTGATAGGGCCTTGGCCGTCTATGGGAGGAACCACGATCATAGTACCGGTCATCGTACGGGTATCCGCCGCGTCGCGAGATGTCGTTCCGGAACCGTCGATCATCATAATCATCGTCAAGTCGACGCTTATGTCCTCTGTAGCTTCGGTAGGGAGAGCGGGACCGGGAACGCGATCTTGTCCTCGATCTCCGGCGACGAGACGATCTGCTGCTTAGAGATGCTGGAGATCTGGGCGCCGGTGATATACTGGCTCTGGTGGGACGGTCAACGCTGTTGCCATTAAGAGGAAGTTGCGACGTAGTTGCCTTCGTCTCTGAACCTGATTCGATGATCTCACCCTCAGAAGGGGTCGATGGGGACCTCGACCGACGTGAAGCCATGATGCGACAGGTCTACCACTTGACGTATACAAGAAAAGACCAGAGGTGATTTGTATGTAGTACGACTGGCCTTTAGAGCAGCTTTAAAGACAAGAAGAATGATCCTCGGTTAGTAAGATCGCTTCCGACGATGAAGTTTGGGGGGAGTGTATTGAGAAAGTCCAACCGGCTAGAGATGCCACGAGCCCTTGCCAACTTCGACTACCGTCTCGAATTGAACATGAGTCTTCTCCAGGAAGCAATTTTGTGTGAATGTGAAATGACGGCCTTGACGCCAAAAGGAACAGATAGAAACAATTAAAGCCGAATGACACGATATCGGGAAGATAGGTCGGGATGAGAGATGACTCGACGCGGTACCTTCCCGGTCACTTTATCTAGAAGTTGATGAAGGCGGTGTCAAGGAGGAGATTTTGCGCCTAACCCAATCTAGCTCTAGCGCCACCCCGCAGATGGCGGCAACAAGATAAGCTGTGTTTCGCGCCATCAATTTTTTCCTTTCTTCCCCTCTCCTTTCGTTTCCACTTTTGATCAACAACGTTGGTTCTCGCACGTCATTTGTTTTTACCCCTTATTTTCTATATAATCAAATAAAAATGGGCGGTGCAAGCAGAGAAGGTATGTCACGCATCTGCGATCATACACAGGGCGTCTATTGACTTAGAACCCCCAGGTGGCAAGGTCAAGCCTTTGAAGGCTGCCAAGAAGGACAAGAAGGAGCTCGATGAAGATGACCTCGCATTCAAGGAAAAGCAGAGAGCTGGTATGAATGCCGAATTCCATAGTCTAACTCTCGCTTGTCCATACTGATCGTCTTCACTACAAACAGAGGCCAAGGCCAAGAAGGATTTGCTGGACAAGGCCAAGGGCAAGGGCCCATTGAACACGGGTTCCCAGGGCATCAAGAAGTCAGGAAAGAAATAAGTTTCTCTTGAGGACGGCACTACGCTATTTTCACGATATACAACGAGCTACGAGCCATGAGTGCAAAGGTGGAGGGTTGCCGTATGGGCCTCATCGCTACTTGCCGTATCTGAACAAACTCATATATTGTTTTCTCAATTCAATATACCTCCATCCCACCGAAGCCAGACCCAAACAGGGCCAAGGCTGTCCCCTTGGTCGACTCGGCACAGGCTCGTTGATCAACAGAACCGACCAAATTATAAGGTTCCAATCCAACTAGTGGCCTTGTTGGTGTTCTTTGAATACTGCATAGTAACTGCTGCTCATGCGCCGTTTGTATCATTAGACAAATATTTAAGATGCGAAATTTCTTTCTTCTTCCTATTTTTTTTCTTTTGTAAAACGCTCATTTAGGGTATATGCAACGCTAGAAGGGAAAAGCTTGGCCAATAGATTTTGAACGACAGGAAAAGAGAACTCAGTGTAGAAAAGGAGAGGAAGAAGGAAGAAAATGTCAACAAATTAGAAAGGCTTTAAAGCGAAATATGGCGAGGAGAAAGATGAAGGGAAATAATAGGGGAAGGAAAAGAATGTAAAAGGCCTAGAGAATCGCTCTTCAGCTGGTCACTCGTTTAACCCATAAACCACTGCTGCCACCATAGCATTCCTGTTCGTCACGCTTCCTCCATGCTCGGAATAGTTTCATGCCAATCTCGTGTTCTTCTTTATTAATATCAGCCAGCTCGTTGTTTAAACTGGCGACCGTTTTCTTGACCTCGTCTCTTGCGGCTAGATCGTAAGCAATGGGACTGGGCTGGATGACTTGCGTCAACTCGTAAATCATAGTATTGATGCTTGCTTTGCGGCGTGTAAGGTAGTCTCTCCTTGCTTCCAACATTTCGATACGATTTTGGGTTTGTTGCTTTGGGGTACAAGGCAAAAGTTCGTTTGTTGTTTGAGACGGGGTGGGCTTCCGTAACGGAGCTACCGCGCTGGGAACGGGACGTTTTCTAGACATGATGGAAGGTTGATACTCGGTAGACTGGGAAGCAGCGTCGATACTCCCTCGCGGACTTCCTGTTGCGGTGGAACTACCTGCTTCTGTAGGCTCGTAGGTTGTTACACTGAAACGGCTCGAAGGCAGAGCGAAGTCATCTTCGTTGGTGAGTTTTAAGTCCGCAAGGGTATTGGTGAAATCAGGCTCCGGTAGATTGACGCGTGGCGGAGCACGGCTGCTGGCGCTAGTCGCAGGAGGGGTCGGCTCCTCAAACACTGTTCGGTGGATATTCTTGCTTGGCGCATACATCTCCGGAACCTTCGAGTTTACTTCACCACCCGTGATAGTCGTGACAACTGAAGGAAAGCCACCAAGATATGCGCCACTGGGCGATGGGCTCTCTCGACCTCTTAATCGAGAGGAACTCCTCGACAAGTGTACACGAGATGAAGACCTGGCTCTTGGCTTTTCCTGCAAAGGTTCCACTATTGGAGATCTTCCACTGGCACCTTTCCAAGGCACTCGTGTGTTGGGTGGAAGGAAGAGGTCACTTTCTTTTGGCCGACTACGGGCTCCTGAGAGCTTTCTTTTCTGCTCTCTCCCCCAGTTGAGAACGTCCGAACTACGAGACTCTATAGGTCTAGCATCGGAGCTTATGTGCGTTTCGAACGTGCACCCAGGAGCCGCGTGCGCAAATGTGTCCATGTTTTTTGGCTCACGGGAGAACGTATCCCATCCGGTAGCAGGTCGCGTGAACGAAGGAGTTGGTTCTTGTTGATTATCTGGGTGTTTGCACAAAACCGGTATGTGGCTGGTGAATGTTTTCTCCGCTTGTCCACCCCCGAAGTACTGGTCGAATTCGTCCTCTAAGGATGAGACTCGAGAGCTGCCTAAACTAGCAGGTCCATGGCCAAGGAAAACCGGCGAGTCGGGAGGTGAGATTGAAATACTGTCCGTTCGACCGGGAGTGTTGGAGTCCTGAGGGAAGTATTGCGTCAAACTGGTTGAGGGTTTACGTCGGCTGTCCGCCATAGAATCTTGCGAATATGAACTCCCTGCAATCCCAACCGTGTCCGACCGACGCGGATCCAAAGGGTTCCTAAAACGGGTTAGAGATTGTATAGCTGTGTACTTCCTCGCTTGCACATACTTCGGCGGGGTTGGTAAAGTTTTTGCATGATACTTGTTTTCTTTCTGCGCACCAGAAACAAGAGGAAAGGACTGGTATTCATTATCATCCAAGGTCTTTCCGACCAAAGTAGGAGTTCCAATTACCGGCTTCTTCGACCGATGGAAATTCGATGAAACCTTCAACCACATTTTGATCTAAGACACCGCGATCGATCTTCCTGCGGCTAGGGATAGCGATGATCATCAGTGGATCAAGTTGCGATGCAAGGGGAAAAGTGGCATACCTCAAATACCTTAATTCGTCCAACGATTATAGAAAAGGAAGAGTAAAAGGACGTTAGAGAAAAAAGTGTCCAAAAAATGTCAAGAGTAGGACGTGAAATGCAAACGAGGATGAAAATGATCCCTGTCACGAACAGGCTGGTTTTATTTTCAATGTGGATTCCTGCAAAGACATGCCAGCATGTCATTCAACAATTAGAAGAGAAAACGTCGACCAATCCTTGTCTGGTATGCACGCCAACAAAGGGAAGGTTTTGCTGACAGGGACTCGAATGCGACACGGATAAAACCGCTCAGTTAGTAGTAAAAGACAAAAAATTAGAAGAGTAACAAAAAAAGAAAAGAAAAAAAAAGGAGGGAGAAGAAGCTCCGAAAGAGAGAAAGAATTGAAGCAAGGAAAAATCCAAGAAATTACACAGTGCTCAACACGAGTGAAGGAACGAATGAACAATTGCAGAAAGAATGAATAATGATGACTATCAGGCTCGCCTGATTGAGGGGGCAGCAAGAAGAAATGGAAGAAGTCATGGCACCGGAACAAGCACATGCCCATGAAGGGTCCTGTTTCAGCGATTTGCAGTAATCCTGATTGACTAACAGTTCGTGGTTAGTCTCCCGTTAGTTGGGTTCATCAGGTACTATGATTAGTAGTCAACGTTAGCTCCGTGACTCCATAACAATTATAATGATCTTCGTCCAGACCATTGAAAGCCCCTTAAGTCATCCGAGGAGTGGATTTTCCTCGGTCCTGGACACTAAAAATAACAAGGAAATAAATTAAAAGGAGGAGAAATCCAGTTTCCTCGGGTGTCTGTGCTACGGGACTCAGAGAATTGGCATAAACGGAGTAAGTACAACAAGCCTGTGGAGTTGGATTAAAGATCCGTGAGGACTTTCGGGTAAACCATGGATGAATTGACGGCCTGAACCCTGAGGCTGCAGCTGAGACTGCAGCTGGAAAGGGTTCACGTGCGGTAATTAATACCGCTGTCAGCATCGGCTTATTTCTCCGCATTGGGCTGAACACGGAGCATACATACCTGAGTGATTGTTACTTACTGTACAGTAACCTGTAAGTAATATTCAACACTGTCTTCCGTCATCTCCAACTTTACCTCTGTCACCTCAACTTGTCCTCCTTCTAACTAGAACCACCGATCTTCCTCACAGTCAACCATAACTATGTCATCTCCACGTATGTTTCTTTATTCATCATCCGCTAAATGAATAGTCAAAGACACATCAACCCATAATCCATACTAACATAAACTGCAGAAGACGGGGCAGTCCCGCCGCCCGCCGAAGTGTCAGTATCCCAACCAACGCAAACGACTCGTCTGGTCCTCCACATGATCGAAAACTAACCCATATTCTCTTTAGTATGTCAATCGCATCGCCGATTAACCTCCTTCTTCTCTCCCTCTTCGCCGTTCTGGTGTACATGCAATTCCGACCAAAAGCGCCTGTAACTCTTCCCAAGGGTCCTGCGCCCATCGTCTTCCGCACGTTCACCCCCACTACTCTGCTCGAATTCAACGGTGTCGATGGAAAGCCCGTCTATCTAGCCGTCCGCGGTCGCGTCTTCGATGTATCCCCCGGCAGGAACTTCTACGGACCGGTATGCGCTATCTTGAGCCCGTCGGCTTGATAAGAATTGAATATTCACAGACAAAACTAACTCGTTCTGGTGCAGGGTGGCCCCTACGAGAACTTCGCTGGCCGAGACGCATCCCGTGGATTGGCCTGCCAGAGCTTCGACGAGGAGATGCTTACTAAGGATCTGAAAGCTCCTTTGGATGACCTCAAGGATCTTGATGCGGAAGCGTTGGAAAATCTCCAGTCTTGGGAGGAGCGCTTTTTGGAGAAGTATTTGGTTGTGGGTAAATTGGTTGCTGAAGGAGATCCGGAGGCTCCGAAGGCATAGCTGCCCTGCGATTGAACTCCCATTACGGATGGTACCGCGTATTGATGACGGAATGCGGGGTTGAAGCTTCTACAAGGTCGGAAGTACCTTGATAGAAAATGTGGCATCTGGTGTTTTCAAAAGCGATGCGTGTGGTTTTCTTGTTTGTTTCGCATGAGACATGATTCGATTGGCGCTCGAATGTGAGCCGCATATACTGGGAACTTTTAGGCCATAGTAAAATGACATCTTATTATAAGTACTAATGTTAAACCTGCTACCACCACAAATTATAATGCCCAGAGGGGTAGTAGGTTAGTGATATTATTACCAAAACTACCTAGTGCAAACTTTTGCAGAGTTGAGCAGCACGACCACTGTAATTACCATTCCATGTTTAAAATAAACCAAGAGAGAACGACAAAGAATCAAAAGGTACTGTTACAAGTCATCAAATCGTGGCCGGGGTTAAGAGTCCCTAGATTCCCCAAGTTCACAGTTCCGCTCGCATCTCTTCCGCAGCGTCCGCAGCCTTCTCTTGCGCCTTTTCAGCAGCCCGCTGACCCTGAGCCCGGCCACTGGCCGCTCCGAGCTTCAATTGGTCCAGGAGCCAGTTGGTAGCATCCTGGAGCTTGGCATAGATTGTTCCTTGAGGAGTAGAAGTACCATACCTAAAGTACTCGGCATTGCGGCGTACTGCAGCGCGTAATTCGTTGAGGCTAGAGCCTTGGTAGACCGGAATACCATATGAGTCAAGGTAAGCCTTAAGCTCAGACTGAGACCAGGTGTCGAAGGTGGAAGACTTGGCAGCGTCAGTAGCCTGCGCCATGTATGACGTAGCTGATGCCAGGTTTGCTCCTCCAGCCTTGGAGGCTTTAGCGTAAGTATCTTGGGCTTGTTTCACAAGCTCATCCCGAGTGAGATCTGCACGGTTGGCTGCCTTGGCATTCATGGAAGACAAATATTTCCTTCAGCTGAGGTCAGAAAAAGGTCACTGATTGGATACGTGCAATGATGACTTACTTCAAGTGCTCAGTGTCCCAGGTGTCGAAAGTCCAAGCGCTCCAGCCAGTGGCTGCTTTGTGCTTGTGCAGTCTAACCTTTGCCAAAAGCTCATCACGCTTGTTGCTCTGCGGAACAGGGACACCACGTGCATCCAAGAAGGCCTTCAGGCGGGAGTCGGACCAGGTTGCGACAGCAGCATCAAAGGCTTCCTCTCCCTTAAGCTGTGCGGCATCGGTTGCTCGGGCGTACTCATTGCCAGCCTTAGTGGTAGCAGCACCATATACTTCCGAGGCCGTCGAGGTAGCACTCTGGGATGCAGTAGAAGCTACAGAAGAGGCCTGACTAACTAGAGAGGCGCGGTGCTTTCTGGCCAGTGCGACCAGCTCGTTGCGCTTAGAGCCTTGTGGCACCTTGACATTATGCTCGTCGAGGAATTTCTTCAAGTCGGAGTCAGACCACGCATTGAACAGCGCTTCACTCAGAGTAGCCTGAGCCGCATCTGCGGATTTAGAAGCAGAAGCAGCAAGGTTCCGTGCTTGTAGGCTGGCTAGTCTAGCGTTGCGACGCACCATTGCGATCAGCTTGTCACGGGTTGTAGGCTGGGGCACCGGCCAGCCACGCTCGTCAAGCCATTCCTTCAGGTCGGATTCAGTCCACTGCTCGTAGACCCAGTTGCCAGGATAAGAAGCAGCCTCTCCGAGTCTTTTGGCAATTGCTTCATAGTTTTCGCGGGCCGTTTTGAGCAGTACATCGCGCTTGCGCGGCTGAGGGGCGGGAACACCATGCCGATCAAGGAAAGCTTTGAGATGAGAGTCAGACCAGCTGTTTTCATTTGTTAGTGACGTGCATAGTATTAAGCGCTTCTGTTCTTGACTTACGTATCAAAAATCCAGTCCTTGGCATGATGCCATTGATCAGTAGCCTGGTCCGCTGCTTGTCCTAAGGGCTTTTGGACTTTCGAGTTCCAGTTTACCTTCACAGCACTTTCGAGGTCTTTGCGATCAGCAGGAGAAGGGTATGGAATGTCTATACCTCAAGTTAGCCTCTTGCGGGTGTAGAAGACGTTTTCATTAGGCGAGCCGTACCATGGTCGGAGAGCCACCGCTCCAGTTCTGTTTCATGCCATTTGTCGTACACTACAGTGGTCCTTTCGTCAGAATAACCCTTCATCTTCAGAAAGCGTACAGGCTGTGTGATATCGCAACGTAAGATAGTGATGGTTACATACCAGCTCTGCTGAACCACGAGTGTGCCCCAACCGCCTCCACGGTTGCGAGGGCCAGCACCAGACCCGAAGCGAAATTTAGCTTCATAGCCACTGGTTGCGAATGCTTGGTGTGTCTTCTAACTGATGGTGTAACTATTAACAGTCAATGATATCTCAGATGATTTTTGAGAAATACGAAGGACATGAATTGGGGACAACTTACATAAGTCCTTACAAGGGTAGTTGGAATTTGAAAACAAAAGGATATGTGAGGAAGTCGTAGTATTTATTTATTAGGAATGATGAGAGATGATTGCCGAGTGACGTAGTTGTTTGCACAATCGGCCTGCGTGTGGTTACTGGCGTCATCGACTGGGTCAACCTTGGTCGCGCATCTTCTCGACAACTCGAGACGCCGGGTTGTTCAGTTGTTGTGGATCTAACATGGTTTTCACTGGTTAATCAAACGACCAAAAGTCAGTGAATGTAGTTTAAATCTCGTAGTCTGATTGTAATCTCTTGATTGTTGAAGCTCTCAACAGATAAGAATGTCAGTCTAGCTATTCGTGGTTTAGCGCCATGTGTTGCCTCTTTGGGCTATGCGGAGAACATCGACTTAAGAGAAGTACGGAGTATCATACTAAGTATTACATCCGTACCGTACCGAACAAACAGTACATACAGTACTTTATCGCTTATCAGGGAGGAGGTTCGTAGGCCGAGTGACAAGTCATCTCCTCACCCCCAACACATCCACTCGACATCGAGGTTTTAACTACAAATAGCCTAAAATAAGGACACAGCTTCAGACATCCGTACGTGAGATGGCTCTGTTTTAGCCCAACCGTCTGCAGCTCCCTGGCAAATTACCGAGGAACTCACCGTAGTTACCGTCTATCACAGGGCTTGGCCTCGGATGCTCCTGGTTAGCTCTTTATCACTCACTGTCTGGATGATCGCAACTCGATAAGTTGCTCCTTTATCAATCGCCGTCATTAAATACCTAATAGAAGATTATTACACGCGACGTGTTCATCGTGTGCTTTACGAAACGTCAGGATGGATCTTCTGTCCAACGCGCAATGCAAGCATCTGGTCTCTCCAGACTATATAAACTTCATCCTATCAATGTACAGTTTCCCTGTCTAACACCATCGAAACTCTCCTAAAGGTATATGCTAAACTGAACAGCTTGATCGTATTCGGTATACTGTTATCATACCTTCCCCAGCACTACAGAATCATCTCCCTAAAGAGCTCCTACGGCATCTCACCGTATTTTGTCTTATTGGGAACAGTCTCCGGTTCGTCGTCTTTAGCAAACGTGGTATCCCAACAACAAAGTCTGCAGGATGTTTCCTGTTGCAGTGATGTCAACGGTCTGGCTTGTTTCGCAGGACTGCTAGGTATCCTCCAGATTGGAACACAGTGCCTCTGCTTCTTTATCATGTAAGTGTCGCATCCGCGAAAGTGGCATGTCCATCTGACTGACAAGCAACTTTCTTCTACTAACTACATAGTCTATTCTTATACATCCTCTATTTCCCTCGAGATGTACAGTCGTCTCCTTCAACCACCAAGCCAAGGCCGCAAGGCCCAACATACCGCACCGCCTTGATCGTAGGCGCTGTCTGTATTCTACACATATCCGTCATGCTTATAGCCACGATCACCATTGGATTCAAACGACCCGGCTCTCTGCAGTCCTGGTCTAACTTCTGCGGTATCTTAGCCGCGGTCCTTTCCTCGATTCAATACTTCCCTCAGATTTACACCACCGTCAAACTGCGCTGCGTTGGCAGTCTGAGCATCCCCATGATGTGTATACAGACACCAGGTGGCTTTGTTTGGGCCGCCAGTCTTGCGGCTAGATTGGGCGCAAAGGGATGGAGTACATGGGGTGTTTTGCTCATCACTGCGACTTTACAGGGTCTACTACTCGTACTGAGCGTTTTCTTCGAGTACCTGGGGCCGAACAAGGGACACAGTCATGGAGAGGACGGGCCAGTGGAGAATGATGAGCGCGATGAGCAAGAGTCGCGTCCCTCCGAAGAGACACCCCTTCTTCAGAACCAATGATCGACCCCTGTATGAAAGTAATTGGATAGCTTTCGTACAATAGCTGCCCGTGTTTTGATTTTTTGGATATTGTTCTTTTGGATCTTCAGTTTTTCAATGAGGAATGTAAGTATAAATGCGATTTGGAGCCTCGGGTACGATGCGATAGACCTTTCCTTTGCTTAGGGTCGAGGCAACTCGTCCATTTTACTCTTGAACGCAACAGGAAGCCAACAAGATAGGACAAAAACCTCGATAGACAATATGATATAGTTTCAAGTCTAGCCAGTGTATAACAGGGAAAGGAGCGTCCATTACCCACACTACTACCCCACAACTAGGAAATCGTAGCAAGTCATTTTCACAGCAGAGGAAGTAGCGGCAGAGCTGTTATCCCCTCATAATCGTAATCTTCATAAGCTACCTAACCTACAACATCGGCTTCCACGATTCCGCACTTAACCGTAAACCAGACGGAAAAAGTCGTTGAAAACGAAGTAGCTTCCAGAGTCAGGCAAAAGCTGGAAAGTCTGGGTGTAGTTCATGGGTCTCTGCTCCTCATCGACCTAAAAGCAAAAAGAAACGGAGACAGGTTAGCAAAATAATCCAACCCCAACCGCCAGTGGATAGGGGAGAGAAGCATACAAGTAGAGCACCAGTCACCACGACAAGGATACCGCCATTCTCATTAGAAGGCTGGGCGTCAAGGGTGTTGACCTTGTGAGCGACCTTCTGGAAGGGAAGAGCCTGTAACAAGCGATTCCCGTTAGCGCATTGCTCTTGACCACCCGCTCTAGTGTGACTCACATTCAACTTTTCAACGATACGGACAGAGCCCAGAATGGATTCGGTCTCGAAAGTGAGCATGGAATGATCACGCTGTGATCCCGGCAAAAGGAATAATAAGTTAGTTACCCCTGCTCCTGCGTTCAAGCCCTGCGCATAGAGGAAGACATACGTAGAGACCAGCCAACTGCGAGCGATTTGTATCAAAAGTGTTGTAGTAGAACTCAACGAACTGCCCTATTCGTTGCAGATGTTATTAGAACCAGCCATGTGATATTTGTCTCATTCCCATTGTCGGCGTTGATAGGTGGAAGTCATGATCGTCGCTAAGCGCGTCTGTATCTGGACGACAAGGGAAAGTGAAGGAATAACACTCACGGGCGACGGAATTGAAGTCTAGATGTTGGAGAATCCATGTGTCAGTTTTGACTATTTTCCCATGTGTGTCGAATGCCTGCGCTCCTCATCTTGGAGGGGTCCATGACTTGAGGAGGGGCATTAAAAAAACAACCAGCAAACGTAGGGTGATGAACTTGTCATGGGAGGGGGATTCCTATAGTGCGAGCATGACTTACCGGCCATTTTGACGGATTGAGTTGATGCGATAGGACAGGGTATTAGAATTAAAGGGTATAACGCTGGAGTCGAGGATAGAGAGGGGAGGAAAAGCCGGGTTGATATCAACATCGAAAGTATTTCAGGCATTGTGGGGCTCTGGAATACAGTTTGCGCCCAATCAACACCGCTGCCTCAGGCAAGGCACCCATGGCAACCAATGACCCCTCGATGGTTGACTGCGACCCCATGGATGCGGGATTTTGTAAGGTTGCGCATATGTACATAACTAGTACTACTAGTGCTAATATTACTAACACTTGCTTAGTATCACGTCGAAGCAAAGAGAATACTCATATCCCTAGTGCCTCAACACGGTGGACTAGAAGTGGTATCAAAGCACTTGAGTAGTTACTACTACCTAATACTACATAGTGAACATCGTATTCATGACATGACATCTCACTCCGAATCAGAATCCGCAAACATATCTTCCGCCTTTGGTCGAGGTTTGCGAACTGGCCGTTGAGGCTCCGGTTGTGCTGAGAGCTCCGGCTGCTTCTCTGATTGCTCTTTCGAGCCGCTTTCTTCCACGAGAGCGTTGTCTTCCTCCATAGGCTCACCATCCGGGACTTCCAAATCGCTGTCCTCCATTGGCTCTCCGTCAAGATCGCTCATCGGCTCCGCATCGAATTCTCTCCCGGGAGCAATATGTTCTTGATCAATATCCATGCGACTGCGGGTAGCTTCAGGAGGTCGGCCTGGGTCAAATTTCTGTGCCGCTGCGTCTTCTTCCACGGACTTCCAGCGACTTTTACTCTTGGAGAATGCATTGGCGGCTCGTTCGGCTTCGGCTTTCTCCTTCTCCTCCCGTAGCTCTTCTTCCGTAAGCGGCGGTTTCTCGAAAACACCATAAAAATGTTCCTGGCTCGACTGCGGGAAGACACACCAGCCTTCCCACAGATGCAAAAGAGTTCCGACACTTCGTTTCCATTTCTCTGCTTTCAGGCGACCCCAACTGTAGTCTTTTTCCAATCTTCCAAGGTGCTCGAAGACCTGATGCGCTTTTAACGATGACTCGAACAATTGCCTATACCGCCAAGCATGCCGTACGCCGCTGGTGGCAGAAGAGGAGAGAATGTCGGAGATGAGATAGAGGCCCACCAACTTTGCAGAAGATGTATCTAAATTGCCCTTGGACTGTGAGCGAGCTTCCTCTGCATCGTTGGAGACATCTGCTGCCTGTTCTCGCCGAGCCGCGCCCTTTTCCATTTCACGGTCAGGGTTAGCACCTGTATAAGCAAATGGTTCTTTTATATTCGAAACAATCATCTCCACAACCTCTTCTGCCCCTGCCCCTGCGTGCCCAATAGCGAAAGCAGTGACACGCGCGACGTCGCCTTTCCGTAGCTTCGCGTGTGTCGTTGGGAGACGAGCGAGGAGATGGGTTAATTTAGCCTTCTGAAGTGGATTCATATAGCCTAGCCCATCGTTGCTGGCACCCAGACCATCAGCGGGAGGCGCTCCACCATGTTGGCGCCTCTCATCTTCTACATCAGATAGATCCTCATCAGAAGAGTCGTAATCCTCGTCAGAGACAAACTCATCCATCTGAGTAGCGTATTCAAATTTGATATTACTCTCGGGAGGGGCCCAGTTAGCGCCACCTTCGAAGATCAACAACGGATTCCTAGGTTTTCCTCGTTGATTCCCCCTCGAGCAGCTGTTGGTGAGGACTTCCCATAACTTCCATCGGTAAAATACCCCTCCGGCACTTCTTGCATCCCATATCCATGCCCATTTTTCTTCTCTTTGGACTTCTGGACGACTCATGAGAAGAGCTTCAAATTCCGGTCCATAGTTTAACAAGTTTTCCAGTGTTTTGTGTATTAGTCTCAATTGCTTCAGGTCTGCCGGTGCTTTCACTTCGACTTGGCTGTTGGGGCCGCTTCTACCAAACGATGGCCCGTACGAAGCCGGGGGCGCGAAACCACCGCGATGCAAACCAGGTGGTGGAGCACGATTCAGTCTTCCTTGCACTTCAGGAGCAATCGACTTGGCACCAAAAGGAAGAGAGCTCGTGGATGATAAGCCAACAGTTACTGGTATCGTCGAGCTGATGGCAGCGGAGGATAGGTGCCTCGAGATCGACAGGTAGTATCCCCATCCTAAATATTTGTTCTGAAGCGCGCTGACTGTACTGTCTATATCTGAGGCGGCAGATTCATTCGCGAGAGTCACGATGGCGGACATCGATTTCCGATCCGATGGTTGGCCAGAGGGACGCAGGAGCTTGACATTATCCACTGACAAAACTGACGGGATTAACGACTTAATCACAGACGGGGAAGTTCCAGGAGGTAGTGACGCCAAGTACAGCGTGGGCTTAGCTGCAGCACGCTCGGCTTCTTTCGTGTCAACAGTTGCATCCTCCTCATCGTCCGATGTGCGAAAAGCCGTGGCTGGCGAAGCCGTATTATCAAAACTTAGCACTCCATGCGCAAGATCCCGATTTCTATTCAACGGCTGAAACCCTTCATGCGTACGTTTTCGAGAAAGGGAGGGTGGCGGTGGTCCTAAAGTTCCAGGCCCGCTCATGCGCGGGCCGGAGCTGGTGAAATGCCGTTTTGCAGGGCCTCCCCCATATCCAGAACCCTTGGGGTTAAATCTGTTTAGCCTTCCATCTGCAGACGGACGATCTGGCGTGGAAGAATCATCTTCGAATGACTTCACGAAGTCTTCGTAAACAGCAGCGGTTTCAGCTCGTTCTCGGGCACGCTTGGCTTCGGCTTCGGCTTTCTGGCGCTCGAAGAGTGATTTCTTAGGGAGGGCGGAGAGTTTCGCAGAGACATCTGGAAAGCCCTTAGGCTTCGAATCATCGGACATCGCGAGTCAGCTGCTATGCAGCGAATCTCTTGGTATGGCCCACGAGAACTATGGAGCTGAGGAGTGCTTAATGTTGGAGTCGCTGAAAGCTGTCGGGGCGGAGGCGGGAAGTCTGTTGCAGCCTGAGGCAGCGAGTAATGATGAACCTACGAAGTACAGATTGAAGGTACTTGGCTTATGGTTTACGTATCCATTGCTTGTCAACTCCCCTCACCTTTTTTTTTTTTTACTTAGTCCCCAACAGGGATGATTTAAAAAAATTTTTGTTAAAGAAAATTTGCATACGACTAAATACATAGGCAGATTGTCATGGCGTCTCAGTTACCAGCTTTACTACGGTTCCTATCACAAGATGCCAAGATGCCTCTCGCAGCTGCTATGGGTAAGGTTATGGAGCTTCAGAAAGCCGGCCTTACATCGTATGGATGATTGCATCCCCATCCCTAGTGAGATGATGTCTGTCTAATACTATCTTAGTCCTGAGCAAATCTCCAAGTCAGAGTTCAAGGCTCTCCAAGAGATCTTCCACGACGATAAGTTGGCAAAGCAAGTGTGGAACGCAGCAAAGAAAGTTTCCAAAAAGCGCGAAGCTTCAACTGGGAGCACAGAATCTCCTCGAAAAAAGTCGAGAGGCTTGGGCCGGAGAGATGATGCCACTCCTTTTGACACAGAATGTGCACTCTCTCTTCCAACCACCTCTGCGACCGAAGACGAATTGTCAAAGGTTGTCCTACTTACGAACAGAGCACCTCTCGTTCTAGCTTTTGCAGTCTGTGTTCTGAAGCATACTATGCCAGAGCAGCCGATCTCTAGCAGGCTTAGCCTCGCTCAGGCAGTTGTTAGCGCTAATAGTCGCTCAAAAGCTGTCAGTCTGGGTATCGAAACTGAGAACTCTGCTGACCAGGAAGGTTGGGGAGAAGGACAGCCCGTAGTCAGAGTCCTTGGAAGAGAAGTCAAGGTTCTTAAAAGGTGGGACTACAATCCTAGGGAAGGTAAGCCCGTGGGTGCGGCTAGTTCAGAACACGATAAAGATATCCACCACGCAGCCAATGATACGTTAGGCCAGGATGTTTCAGATTCAGATAACTTAAACGGCATGCCACCGTTATGGGGGATCGATATCGAGGCATTGCGAAGCGCACATCGTGGTAACTCGATTGGTGCCTCCAACGCAAATGAACCTCTTCCAATTTTCACACCAGGTGCTGCGCGATCATATTTATTTAAGTCATTCACAGAAGCATTAAAGGACAATAATCCAGCATCAGGTAGGCCGAACCGGAAGCGTCTCTCTCAAACAGAAACCGAGAAAGAGACATGTTTGGGAAATCTACTGCAGGCTATTGACTTGGTATGCCAGTCTTGGGCTCCGATTCTCAACAGAGAGGAGTTGGATCAACGAGCATGGGCCTGGTATACACACGTCAGGCCCGCTGTCCAAAGCGGAGTAGCAGGCTGGGGAGAGAAAGGCCGTGTAAAGTTATATGACATTCTCGCTTTGAGGAGACAGGCATGATTGCGATTCCGACTGTTCGAGACTTTACCGTCAAACAATTACAAGATTGCCGCGCCAATCAACAACAGAATCCAGTTCATGAACTAAGAACACTGACGGACTTCATGCTTCTGCTCCACTTAGCATCGGATGTCCCAGGATCCTTCCACACGACTGGTGTTATCCAACGTCTACTGTGTTCTAGAAGCTCGGTATTTGGATAAGGTAGCCATTGTGTGGGTCAATCGATGTCGCTATGAGTGGAATCTTGTCACAGACACCAGCTCTGCTAGACCGAAGACTACCATTGCCGATGAGAATTCACCGTCAGATTGATAGCGCAAAACGCTTTCCTTCTACGTGTGGCGCGTGGGCATATACTACTAGCATTCGAATTCTGACCACACGATGGTACAATATAGTGGAGGTGAATGCATGTAGCAATTCCTCTGTCTCGGACAATACATGTAATATTTCTCTTAGGACTCCATCGGGTGTCTGTTGGGGACGGAGTTGAATCGTTAGTGGAATGATCATTAAGCAAGACCCATACATTAGTGGAATTGACAGGATGAATTAGTTCTCTGACAGGATATGCTTAACATATGGAGGCCTATAATTCGTTGCCCAAGGGGTTTTTTTTTTTTTTTTTTTTTTTTTGAAATGCATTGTGATTTATCGATCCTTAAAGACCTGGTCCCAGTTAACTTGAACGCAGGCGGTCTGTCGAGAGAACCAAACCAATACCATGTTCGGTACCGAATAACAGATGCGGCCACTGTTATGAGTGTACGTTACAGATATTCTGCCTAAATTCTGGTACACATTGACTCGAAGAGTATTTGAACAAGCAGATCAGCCTTTTTTGTTTATTTTTTTTATTTTCCCCGTTGCCTCTGTCATCACCCAACGTCTTTTACGAAAGAGGATAAGATAACTGACTACCATGGTAAAAATGCTATGACGCGGGCGAGGAATCCTCATCACGACGATCATCGTTGAGTTCTTCCGCATTCGGCCAGATAGAGTTTTCCGGTCCAGGCACTGCAGGGTTTTTGGGAGAAGGTCCACCAACCGTTCCATAATCCCTTCTTTTAGTGCTAAGCCGGGGGGGGGGCACACTTTTTTTTGGATTTTGAATCTGTCGATGGTCGATAGGATTTTATGCTGTTTTCACCGGGACTGGTGGAAGTTGTCCGAACCTTAAAAATGCCTGAGGACCTTAGGTATCCGGGAAAGAATTAGGGTAAAATGTCATTACAATTCGAATTGATGGGTGAAACTTTGGGAATTTTGATGACTGGGGAGCCAAGTCAAATACTACTTACTACTAGTCATGGATTAACGGAAGTGGCACAGGTATCCGACCCAGCGGAGGGGCTTCCGGGCCAAACTCTGCCAGTGATAGGTCGCTGTACTGTTTCAGCCCAGAGCCATTCGCGGAGGGTGGCCTCACAACGCCAATCAATGTAGTTCGAGGATCATCCGGTATCAGATTGTTTCATTGAAGCGAGGGAGTGAACTCATGACTTCATTTTTCTGTTTTTCTTTATTCTTATTAATTTTCTTTATGTGCTAAGTCGACTAAGAATATATTTGATGGGGTGCGGATCTAAAGACTGCTAGTGTCATTGTGGCGAGGCTGAGCAACCATAACCCGAACCTTTAATTAGGAACATATGGTGAACGATTAATTGAGGTAAGAAACGACTGAGACTGGGATGAATCTAATCGGGAAAAAAAAAAAAGGAAAAAAAAAAACGAGAGGGAAAAAAAAAAAAAAAAAGGGAAAATAAAAGAGAAAAAACATTAGGAAGGAAAAAAGAAATGAAGGAGAATGACCGAAGCTAGCACGAAAAAGTTTTGCCAACCATGGGCATGATCGGAAAAAGTAGTCAATCAAGGCACTCTCGCCTCCCCCCAAACACTTAGTGAAAAGTCACCACCTTTTAGTTCACTTTCCCCCCGATTTCCCGCTAGTCCCTCTGGGGGTTCAGGCTCCCAGGCGTCCAACTTTCCCTCTCTCATCCTCTCACAACCTCTCTTTCTCCTCTCTTTTCCCCAATCCTTCGCTCCAGTTCAAACATACCACCGCCCAACTACTATTGAAATCCTATCTCGACGTGATCATCGCCTAATTCACCCCTCTTTCTTTCTCTCATCCTACCTTCCCCCCCCCCCCTCCTTCACCTCCATCCGCTCTCTGTGCGCCCTCCGTCTCACATATTTATCCTTAATTTGGAATTCCACCCTATTCCATCATTCTTTTAGTCCCTGGAGGCCCCTGCCTGTTTTTCACCGCTCCTCGCCTCTACCAACCCGTCCAGTCCGTCGGCCTACTCAGTCGTCTAAGGTGACTGATTCACTCCTTTTGACGGACTGACCGATTAAGCCAGGAAGCCCGCCAGGGCTGTGCAACGCCATGCCGGGGCGTTTCTCATCCGACCATTCTCGCTCTCTCTCGCGATCCTCTCAATCCCCGTCTCAACAATATAATTCAACACAAGACGCCGACTCAATGCATCAACGTTCTATGTCCGGTCACTCTTCCAACCCTAACGTCTTCTCCGATGATTATTCGCTAGAGCAAATCGATTCCGAACAAGCCACCCTCACTCCTCGAAGTCCATCCGTTTCATCAATCGCGTCATCCAATACCCTCCGTTCATCTTTGCCTCAACAACAACAAAAAGCGTATAATACAACGCCAAATGATCTCGGGGTAACAGAGAATCCATTTGGTGATGATGCCCGGGTTTCTTTCGATGAATCACCAAATCGGTCCAGTCTGCCCCCAAAGGGGGTCGACTTCACCAACCGCAATTCTGCAGCGTCCACCAATACCGCCCCTTCCATAGCGCAGCGCAGTCAGAGCACTTCGTCACGATTTTCCATGCCTCCCCGGGCCTTAAGTCCTTACACCGGGGCTACAGGCCCGAGCCATCCGTATGCGATGTATCCACAGGTTGGGGTTAGCCGTTCACCTAGTATCGCGACTACGTCTACGGTGCGGCCAATGGAGCGACCGTTGAGCGATGCCAATGCACCCCAGCATCCCTATGCGATGTATCCACAAAATGTGGTGGCGGAAGAAGAGATGGACAATGCCATGATTCCTCCAGTGGGCTTTCCCGGACACCCTCAGGCATATCAGCGACCACCCAATCGTGCCGATGACGACGTAGGGGACTTGATTGGACCCGATGGCCATACAGAACAGCTACCGCCTTATTCACGGTACCCCGACCCAGTTGTTCCCAAGGTTGAAGGGACTTTCGATCCTACTCCTGACGCAGGCGTCACTCTACACAATAATTCTCCTAGTCCTAATGAGCACCCCCCGCCACCAGTTTCGGAAGTATCGTCGAGAACGTTGGTCGCGGAAAATATGGCAAATCGACGAGATAGTGATGACGCAGAGCGGGAAGCAGCACCAGTTACCGGTGTCATGGCATTCGAGGAGAAGTTGAAGACTAAAGGTAAAAAGAAGGCATGCTGTGGGTTACCGGTCTGGACCCTTGTTTTGGTCGGTGTCGTGATGCTTGTGGGGGCATGTATCGGAGGTGTCATCGGAGGTGTCTTGGGAGCGAAAAAGGCAGCGAATGAGGAGAACGACCACCCGAAAGGTCCGAAGATTGTCACCAAAACAGAAACCCCCCGGATGGATGCCACCCCCATATCTACGATTCCTACAAATCTACCAGCTGCGCCTACTGGGAATTACTGGATTCCCGCGGACCCGAAGAATTCTTCGAAATTTTGTATTGTCGAGCAAGACTACAACCCATCGTGGAGTTGCATGAAGTCGGGGAAAATACCAGTGTCTCTAACCGGGACAGAATCATCACGTAACATCACCTTCGCCAGCGAGCAGATTTCTTCGTCTTTCACTTATGGCGCTCAAGCACCATACTTTTCCAATCCTACGCAGTCACTTAGCCTAATGATGGACTCCAGCGACCTCAGCCTCGGCCCCGCCCTAACTTTCTTTTCCTTGTTTGATAAACTGGTTATTGTCCCCCAGGATACATTCTCATCTAGTGCGGTTTCAAAGCGTGACATCAGTGAGGATGATGTCATGGCAGGCGCATTCCGTCGCTTGCAAACGGCGCGGGTGGGCGATAAACCCTGGTTTTGCTGGTGGAACAGCACCGTGATGGAGTTTTTCCTGTACCTCAATCAATCCACTAAGGAAGCTCAATACAGTTCCACTGCGACACATCTGCCGCAGTCTACGGATTCTTCGAGCTCCTCAGTGTCTAATTACCCTCTTCGGATCAAGATGGATGAGAAGAGAGATTACCCAGAGGCCCAGTCGCCTTACTGCCAGCAGATGCAGGTGCTGGAGAACGGTTCCGTTAACCCAATCTCCCAGCAGACGATTCAAATCAAGGAATTGGAGCCGACACCAACGACAACGCTCAAATACTCTGCGAGTGCGACACAGACTTACACGGCGACCGCACAGTATGAGCATGTGTGTTATTGTGTCGCATTGACGGATTAGCATCTCATTGGAGAGGGTATCTACTATAAAATCAGAGGAGTATCGTTTGGCCCTGCCTCGTGGAGCTACAGTGTCGGCGTTACCAACGGTGGAAACGGTCCATTATCTTTCATGTGCATACGAATGATTGGTTGTCTTCTGCGGTCAGCTCGGGATCTTGGCTGTGCTGGAATTCTCGCATTGTTTACAGAGTTTATGGCATGCATCGTACACTTTCGGTTCCCCTTGCGACCTGTCTCGTGTCATTTTTGGTCTTTCATGGTGTGCTTTGACGCCATTGTCTCCAGTATCTCATCCAGCATATTTCTTTCTTTTCTTTTCTTTTTTTTTTCGGCGCAGCTTTATGGCGTTTTTGGATCGGTGCAGGGTGGCCAAACTCAGTCCATCGTTTTTTCCTTGGGCCCACAAACTTTTGGGTGTTTTTGTGTTTGGAGTACTTTCTATATTTAACTGCTCGTATCTCAGGTTAACCATCCATGCCGGTGGTCATGGTTTCTATTTATGGCAGTATAGCTTGACGGTTCTATCGTCGAATCCGTTCGGGTTTCATGACAGCATAGGCGAATATAATTTCTTGATCAGCAAATGATCACAAACCTTACTGGTCTTCGTTTTCTGAATCCCTTTGTCCTTGGTTCAACTTAGTAATCTAAAGAACTGGGGAAATATTGTTGACACCCAATAATTTCGGGCCTGCAGGGTATGACCGTGTGAAGACGTCACCGGTTACATTACCGATGATCAAAACGTAAATCAATGTCCAACGAGTGCCACTAAGGAGAATTAGTTAAATGCAGGTAGCACAAATTCCAATTTACGTTCTCGCTACTTAATATTTTCAAAGTTGACATAAATCTTGCCAACAACATCTCCTCACGCTTAGCCCATCCACATTGATTAACCAGATTCCTATACAACATGAATCCAATCTTGCGCAGTGGCTCTATATTGAGGGTGGCCAATTCGTCGATTCCTTCACTTTACCGTTCCAGGAAGGTCACTCCTCTGTCATGGCGGACTTACGCTCAGAGTTCCTATGGCGGGGAAGGGGAGACTGAAGCTCAACAGCCGAACAATCCTCGGAATACCCCAACTCGGGACATTGAACATCCAGGTACGTGATCGGTGACATAGAGCTACTTCAATGGCAGGTCGAAATCTGACCACACCTGTTTAGGGCCATCTGCCCCAGATGTCAGCAAGGGCTCAACAGCATCTTCACGCTCTCAGTCTCGATCTACTTCGACAACCCAAGAAGATCGAGATAAGGAAGATTCAGAAGGTAGACCCATTCCGACGTCATCCTCCAACGACGCAAAACCAACGATTACTGACGGACGCCATTCCCCCAATGTTGACTCTGAAGGCAACGTGCGGTCAGATGTTCCTAAAGATGTAAAGAAACATAACGAAGAGATGGAGCACCGGTATGATCGAGCTTACAACCAGCTAGGGAATGAAGGGAAGCCACCGAAGGGGTTTTGAGAAAGGCTACAAGCTTGGACGAGTGGTGTGGTTTGTGGCGATATCCCTTGTGGTTGGATGGAATTGGGAAAGTTACTATATGATTGATTAACGGAGCGAGGTTCAGCAAATGAAACTATTTGAAAATGTTAGTTGGCGGACTATTATAATACATTAGGTTTCTAATTAGATATATTTTCAGGTGCTACAGACTTACAATTAGACTTTCGTACTTCTGTATCGTAGAACACTCTTGTTGCTTATAGATTGTATAATTATCTCTTCCTGAACTTGACCACTGGGGAAATGATGCTCTGAGGAGTGGTTACATTCATTTAGGTCGCAGTTGTATTGCCACGGAGTCGTTATGGAAATGCCACGAGGCTGGGGAAAGGCCACGGGTTCCTGAACGCGGATCTCCCGCGGTCGCCGCCAAGCAAACCTATCGCTCAGGAGCATCACTCACTGCACCCACGCAGCTTTACTACTCTTTGACACCGAATAGTCAACTGCGGACGGACTTCTTTGTCGCAACCTATCTTTCCCGCGTTCTCCTTTGAATCTCTCCCCTCGCAACAGTCAAGATGGGCGCCGCAAAGAATAAGTATTCTGTCATTCTCCCAACCTACAATGAGCGGAAGAACCTCCCTATTATCTGCTGGTTGTTGGAGCGCACCTTCCGTGAAAAGTGAGCTTTAGCATCCTCTGTTTTTCGAAGAATCCCTCTCCAATGGCCCACTATCTGCGCCCGGATACGGCTAACCACTATCAACCGATAGCAACCTGGACTGGGAAGTTGTCATCGTCGACGATGGCTCCCCCGACGGCACCCTTGAAGTCGCCAAACAGCTCCAGAAGCTCTGGGGCCCCGAACATATCAACCTGAAGCCGCGTGAGGGCAAACTCGGTCTTGGAACGGCCTACGTTCACGGTCTTCAATACGCCACAGGCAACTATGTTATCATTATGGACGCCGACTTCAGCCACCACCCCAAATTTATCCCGGAGATGATTCGCATCCAGAAGGAAACGGACGCCGATATTGTCACGGGCACGCGGTACGCCAGTCGCGACAACGTCAAGGGCGGTGTGTACGGCTGGGATCTATTCCGGAAGTTTACGTCGCGAACGGCCAACCTCATCGCCGATGTCATGCTCATGCCCGGTGTGAGCGACTTGACGGGCAGCTTCCGGTTGTACAAGAAGAGTGTGTTGGAGAAGGTCATCCATAGCACCCAGAGCAAGGGGTACAGTTTCCAAATGGAGATGATGGTGCGGGCCAAGGCCATGGGCTTCAAGGTTCAGGAGTGCCCGATCACCTTCGTTGATCGGTTGTACGGAGAGAGCAAGCTGGGCGGTTCTGAGATTGTGGAGTACCTGAAGGGCGTGTTTACCTTGTGGTTGAAGGTCTGAATGGTTTCTTTGACCTCTATTGTTTGGGGTCTTTGTTCAGGGGCCGTTCGGTGGTCTTCGATATACTAGTATACCCTCCGTTTTCTTCTCTCTTGCGGCAAAGCTTTCTTAATCTTTCTTGTTGATGTGTTGGCCGTCCTAAGACTTTTCTTTCATGTACACTAAATGTCCAAAATGCTTGATTCCATCTTCTCATGCCTGGCTTGATCATTCATGTTGCCCTGATCATAGACTCTGCAGCTACACTGTGTTAAGATACTGAAGGACGCGCTCAACCAGCCAATCCTGACCTTCATCCTTCACATTGTGCGCAGCCCCCGGAATGACACCGCTGTATTCACTCCATTTCTCTACCCCACCAGCATTCGTCGCCTCCTTCCACCTCCGCAAAAGTGCCTCTTTATTCACCGACGGCAGAGCATACTCATCATTTCCAGAATATAACGCCGCTAGTTTCCCCTTCACTAATCCCCTCTCCGCAACAGCCCCAAACGTCTCCTTCAACCTCTGATCCTTCAGGTCGGAACTAAACAAATCGTCCTCTGCCGGCTTCTCTGGACTCTCTGGACTCGCGAGACTCAGAAATCTCCGGCAGCTAATCCCGGTATTATCCGGCCATCCGACTACTGCAGTAAGATTCAGCGGCAACAGCGACTGTGGCGCCTGCAACCTCGCAAAATTCACCAACTGCTCATACGCTCCGCGTACTTCGTGATCCGAGTGCGCCAAATGCAAGATATGCTCCCGATCCGACACGGGAGCCTGCATGATAGCCCCGTCCAACACAGGCCGAGCACTCTCCTGTCCAGGGAGCGGATTTGGCGAGTGCAGATAATGCAGGACGTCCTGACTACCGGTTGAATGGCCCATGAGAACGATCTTGCCCTGGGGCTTCAGACCCCGAACGAAGTTCACGCACTGCGCGATCTCGGTGACGTCTTTATCGAGACTTTCGACGCCCCAGCCGAGGTAAGAGGAGGAGAGAAGGACGTTGAAGACAGTCCATTCGGTGGATTCGAAGGCTTTAGCGAGTGCGGATACATAGGGGACTGTTAGGAGGCCGTCGGTGAGGCCGCCGACGAAGAGGAGGCTGTGTTGCTTTTTGGGGCCTGGGTTAAATTCGAAGGCCGTTAGTCTTGGGGCCTGGGTCCTTTGTTAGTGTGTTCGGCTTCGTCTCGATTGAATACTGGATGGGTTTGTGTACATATTCGTGGAGAATACCGGAGTGGGATTGAGGCATGGTCTATTTATGACGGGTTTATAGTCTCTCTTCGGTGGGCTTGGGAAGGATGGGCGAGCAAGAGAACGATATAATCTAAACAAGCTAACCGGTCCAATTTATAACACCTTAGCCCAAAAGATATGCTGTGAGATTATAGTTCCATGAAATGACGTTTGACGGGCATCGATCCAAACTGATAGTGGCCCACTGAGGAGGTGGGGTCCAAAGCTGATCCCATCCCTCTGATATTTCGCACCAGGAGTGTTTTCCAATCTCTCCAGGTTCATATAACTCTCACACGCCCAACCAAACACGTACACATCCCTCTCCATGTCGCAGACACGAACGTTATCAATAATTAACAATTACCTAAAAGCCCCGCGAACTTGATACAAAGTTGACCAAAAAGTGGAACGGTAATTTTCCCCTCGTTCCAAATACGTAACGGAAGTGAAAAGAAGGTAAAATTACAACTTTCCATATCTGCCAAGAACTCCCGCAAACTTCAACGGAGTATGAACGGATAGTTCTTTCTAGTCTCTTACAATTGAATGAATGTGGACCCTGTTCATGGAAGACGTCTGAGAATATTGGCAGTTTGAGTTAGCCGGACTGTGAACTTGGTTGTGGTTGTTTGTTCTATCCGGCCATGACTCTTACTCTGAATATCTGAGAGCAAGGTTATTTAATATCCCATTATTTATTTTTATCCCTCAAGTTCATTCTCGCGAGGTGAATTCAGGATCAAATGCCTCGTGCACGCAGATCCACCCGCCTCACAGGCGGTAGGACAAAGTACACGAATGATCCCTTCGAGGCTGCCGGGGTAAGCGACGAGTCAGACAACGGGTCCAAGGGGCCTAAGGGAAGAAAAGAACAAGTCAGCGACAACGAGTCATCCGACGAGGAATTCCAGGCCAATGAGGAGCCAGAAGAAGAGGAAGAAGATGACGACCAGGGGTCTGAAGAGGACGTAGCTGGCGAAAATGACGGCGAAGACGCCGAAAATGATGATGACGAGGAGGAAGAGTATGCCTCTGACCGCGGGCGCGGTGCGCAAAAGGTCATTGCCTCTCGGCCGAAACTCCAGAGAAAACGGCTCGGGGGTGACCTTGCTATGCTGTCACAGGATGAGACGCATTCGCGTGGAACTCATAGCTCGATGGAGCATATGGGGAAGATGCTCCATATGAGGATTACGTTTGGCACTGATGAGAAGGATCTGTTGGCTATTGTTTATGCGCGGCAGCGGTGGTATAAGGGTGTTGACTCTGGGTTTCCGACTCGTGCTTCCCTAAATGAGGCGCCGATTGTGCCGGATTGTGGGTTTGGGCCGACTTTTGGTGTTGAGCCGGAGGATATGAAGAGGGAAAGGACGCGCGGGTGGGATTGGTATTATGATGGTGATGTGGGAGGGAGGTTTAAGAAGCGCCAGTGTCTGAAGACTATTACTGAGAAAGAAGTATATCAAAAGTTCATTCCGCAGGCTAAGGAGAAGAAGCATACCGTGCTTATTGGGCCCGTCGATGATCAGAAGATGTTCACGGTGGGACATCATGAGTCTTTCAATTTTGGAGAAGCCTTTGGAGAGGCTAAGACTCGAGAGAAAGCAAAGCCGGGCACTGGTAGCAAGTCCAAAGGTAAGGCTTCTGCACAGGAAGATTCTACCAGTCGAGTTCGAAAGAATCGCGAAGGATGGATTATCAATCTAGGGCAGAAGGTTCAGTGCATGGCTTGGGCTCCAAACCAACCCAGTCTCACACAGTATCTGGCCGTGTCTACGCCGATATCAAAGGGAGAGAAAGAAAAGTATCCGGACCCGTTCAAGGACCGTGGTGCTCGAGCATTTAGGCCATCCCCTCCGTACCCATGTGCCTTGCAGCTTTGGATGTTCAAGGCTGAGAGGGAGGAGTCTCTTACAAAACACATTGATATGAACTTCAAACCAATACTACGACTGGCTCTATGCACTAATTGGGGCGATCTAAGACGAATGGCCTGGTGCCCAATACGTCGAGATCCTCGGGAAGAGGACGATGATGACGCTTTGAAATCTGTCGGGCTTCTTGCTAGTATATGGGGAGATGGATATGTGAGAGTCCTTGATATAAAGCTTAGCCGCGACCCGAACAAGGCCGAATACTGTAAGTTTCCGTGCGAGTAATGGCAGGATTCTTACCTCGTACTAATGTTGTCCGATAGACGCAGTGCAGTCTCCAGTCTTCGAAGCTAAGCCGCCATCGACTCTGTGTACATGTTTAACATGGCTATCTCCAAGTGATATTGCTGTTGGCTGTGCCAACGGGTTCGTCGCTATCTGGAGCATTGTGCCTTCGCCGAATGCTCCAACAAACCCTTTCCCTTATTTTTACCAACCAATCCATTCTACGTACATTCTTAATCTAGCGTCGGCTTATCCAACAAATGCCCATCTAATAACGACTACGTCTATGGACGGAGAGACACGGCTATGGTCAGTTTTAGATCCCCAATCGGACATGGTGGACTCTAACCGCATGCGAGTGGGATCGCCGTACTTGACGTACTCTCCTTTATTACACTCTTTTCTCTCCAGCGACGAGAACGACTTCGCCAGACTTTTGGCTGTGCGACGTTTTTATACTACGACGGCCGTAGCCAGGTTCCCTAGCACAGTTTCTTCGCTGGCCCCATGCAGCGTCTGGCATCCCAGCGTCATGTACGGGTGCACTAGCGGTGCGGTAGTCGCGACGAATCCCTTACGGCGATTGTTGCACGTCAAAGAGAAGCAATGGCAACAGACCTGGTTTACCCATGAGTGGGCGCGTGGTGACGACGCAAACGATCCAGGTATCAGTAGATTTCTCGATGGCTACCGCGCTGAGAGCATAAGCCTACTACGGAACATGATGGGGGATCGCAAGATGGTGAACGGGGTGATGATGATCACAATCTACGAAGAGGGAACGCATGTCACCGCACTCTCTTGGAATCCAAATCAGGCATGCGCGGGGTGGGCCAGTGCTGGTATGGGCTGCGGACTGATTCGAGTGGAGGATCTGGCTACGTAACCACCCTTTCACATAGTTGATGTCCTCTCAATCTTACTCCGAGGATGACTGTTGTTATATTGAACGAGGTTCATGACCGCCAGTCTTATTACGAATGTCCTGCATGGTCCGTGGAGTTCTGTGTATCGTGCATATTTTCCCTGCATAATTGATGACTTGAGAAAGTCAGTCGATGTTTTCAGAGCTATAATTAGACAGAGTGTGTAAATAGAGTTGCAGGACTCAAATAGATCGTGCGGATCTCTAGTGAAGTGGTAGATCAGAGAGCCCGAGCTGGATAGAACCTGTCACAACCTTAGGGTTCATTCCGAAAAGACCCTTTCAGGGTCCAAGTGACATGAAAGTTGCATACGGTTAAACCCGAACATTGATGGTAACTTACGTATACCTAAATTCCGACATTCTAATTACATAGTAGACCCCCCGAGAACGGTAAGGGAGCCGATAGCGCCTCAGTGATCCCACAAATTTCAAAGATCATGTGTACTCCCGTACAGCCGGTACAGTTAGCGATGTGCAAACCCTTCGGGTCTTCTAACGATCGGATACTAAACTTGAGCATTGTCGGAGGAATATGAAGACATGCTGACGTTGGCCTTGACGTTGCTCCCACCACGACCATGTACAGTGTGTCTTGGCTATTGCGTGTTGAGCGTGATGCATCGATCTGATCATCTATCTATTCCCGAATATTTCCATCACGCATAAATGCATGATGATTAATGAATGTACAGTAACAAAAGATTAACTTTCTGCCGTTGCCCGTTGCTTGACGCCACAGGCGGCAAGTGGGGCGTGCTCCAGCCACAGATTCCGCTGCTAAAAAAGTCTTGGCGCTAAATCATGGGAAAATGTTTCTTATTTTATCTCGACACAACGATTTGTTGTACTCCGAAGTATGTACTCCGTACGGTACGTACGACCATGTGAATTCTTTCTGCCTAAACTCGAAGGACTGCAGAGCCACACCAGGCTTCTGCTGAAAAATAAACATCAGACACACATGAATAGCATGATAGTGATTGCGTGGACGTCGATCGTCTCTAAAATTAACGTGGCTGGCGGTCCCCCGTGGGTGGACGAGGGTCTCCCAGCCTCCTTTGACGGCTGTCGCCCAGGCCATCGTGGATGCGCCAGCCTGCATATTACCCCATCGGATGGGTCCCTCTGCCGTCCGATGATGAAAACTTGATATTGACTAAATAGATTGAGTGCTTTTAGTCTCTTCTAGACTACCGGTTTTACTATATAGTTGCTGATCATAAATTGGGGCCCGTCCCTCCTCTGCTCGGCCTTGATATACTCATCTTGTCTGGTTTAACTGGGGTACTGTCCTCTGTACTATTTTCATTTTACATTCCCTAGAGAGCTTATAATCGAATCTTGTCTTCTTCGTTTCACTGTACAACTCTTGTCACTTTCCAAATCCCTTCAATATGCATACTTCAGCATTGCTCTTAGTCCTCTCCTCCCTTGGTGCTCATGCAGTTCCTCTCCTCCGTCCTAGAGCAAATGATACCTTCGCGCGCAGAGATGTGCAATATTCCGTTGTGAATGTTGGCGGTCTACCTAGCGCCGAAACGACACCGGTCGTCGAAACCGTTACTGTTGCCTCTCCTCCACAGGCCCCGGTGACAATCACTATCACACACACCCCATCGTCATCCCCTTCCAGTACTCCTACTCCGTCGTCTTGGAGCACTGGGCCATTGTCAACTGGCATTCCCAGCGGAGGGTCCCCGATCGTGGCCCGAGGACTGAACGCCACTGCTCGGAGATTCCGGAGGTCTTCCTCTGCCAACAGCACTGAGGTTCATGATCTTGCTGCTCGTCACAATGGCACTGTGTCTCACCTTGATGCTCGAAGCAACAACACTGCCTCCTTGGTTTCTCGCAGTAACAGTACCGAATCTACGCTCATTGCTCGGAGCAACGGTACTGCCATCCTCACTGCCCGTGGAAACAGCACAGAGTCCAAGATTGCCGCTCGGGGGAACGGTACTGCTTCTGGCCTGGGCGCTCGCAGCAACATTGTCAACTCTCGCCTGACGGCCCGCACTAATAACATTGCATCTTCTGTCGCCGCTCGCAGCAACAGTACCAACTCCCACGTCAAGGCTCGCAGCTTGAATATCAGTGACCGTGCTGTTCTTTACCTTCGAGATGCCCTAAACTCCACCCGCGTTCATGACAGCAATGCTGTGGTGAAGAGGAGCTCGAATGGTACATCGCTTGAGGCTTAAAATTGATGCAAATATGCGAAACATGCCTGGATATGTGCGGACAGATTGCGTCTCTTGGCCAAAATGATTGGCCACTTTATCGCTTATAAGATAAGCGAAATGAACAATGATATGACAGGTACGATATGAAAAGACTGATGAACATGACGGATGATCACTGGCACGCTTTCCTTCTCATTCTCTGGTTTCGTTATGATGATTGAACATGATATTCGATGTGATGATGGTACATTATACATATGCATATGGCGTTTTGTCTGTCTTTCCTTTGGCGTGTTTTTTTTTTTCGGTAGGGTTTACTCTTTTTTTTACCCCGGTTGCCAGATTGGCTCTTTATATAGATTAGATGGCTTGAACTTCTCAAGGAGTATATAGAATGTGGAAAAATCCAATGCATATACTATTCATTTACTTGATCAAGGCTGTACGAATACTTGACCACGCTAAGCCCGAACGGGCGTCCGCGGTACAGGTACTCCGTACACAGTACGGTACCTTACGTCAGTTGGTACATTAGCTTCCTTACATAAGACGACAAGCAGCGACCCCATCGAATGTGATCGCATGTCAACCCACTGCGCCTCTTCTTCTGCTGTTGTTAATTAATCTTTCCTCCCTCCCTCCCTCCCTCCTGTCTATGGACCAGGAGATTCCTGATCTCTCTTCCTTTGAGTGCTCTTACCATCGGCTCCCCTTGCCATTGAAGCACTTCTACCTCCGCCTGCTATTTTGACAGGGTGTTGACCCCCGATACTCAGCCCCCCGACTCTCCCCTCTACTCTCCCACCATATCCGTCACAATGGCCACCCCGATAACCCCCTCCGAAGACCAAAGCCGTCTCCTCGAGGAGGCGTTGGGAGTGGTGCGGCAACAGTCACAAATGATGCGAAAATGCCTAGAGACCCCGGGAAAATTAATGGATGCGCTCAAATGCGGGTGAGCTCAACCTCCCGGTCCACCCCCCCAAGGCAGCAGTGGAACCAATTGGTGTAGAGTCTAACATGTTGTGTCAATTGGTCCAGGTCGACCTTAGTCTCCGAACTACGGACGCCCAGCTTAGGCCCGAAGCAATACTACGAACTATACATGGCTGTGTTCGATGCGCTGCGACATCTCTCCGTTTACCTGAAAGAGAACCATCCCGTCAACCACTTGGCCGACCTGTATGAACTGGTCCAGTATGCCGGCAACATCATCCCACGACTATATCTGATGATCACTGTCGGCACTGTATACATGTCTGTGGAGGATGCCCCGATCAAAGAGATTATGAAGGACATGATGGAGATGAGCCGAGGTGTACAGCATCCTATCCGAGGACTTTTCTTGAGATACTATCTCTCCGGACAGGCGAGGGATTATCTCCCCACCGGATCTGGGGACGGTCCCGAGGGTAACATGCAAGACTCGATCAATTTCGTCCTGACCAACTTCGTGGAGATGAACAAGCTGTGGGTGCGACTTCAGCATCAGGGCCCCTCTCGAGAACGGGAAAAGAGAATGCAGGAGCGTAGGGAGTTGGAGCTTCTGGTTGGAAGCAACGTTGTCCGACTTAGCCAGTTGGTTGATCTGGAGGGTTACAAGTCTGGTATCCTGCAGGCTTTGCTCGAGCAAGTTGTCCAATGCCGGGATGTGTTGGCGCAAGAATATTTACTGGAAGGTAAGGGGATACTCACCATTACATGATGGGCCGGATTACTAAGTCAATACTGTAGTGATCACAAAGGTCTTCCCGGATGAGTTCCATCTTCATACACTCGACCTGCTGCTCTCGGCAATTGCCCGACTTAACCCACATGTGGACCTGAAGAAGATCGTGATTGGTCTTATGGACCGCCTGTCTTCCTATGCGGCACGCGAGACCGAATTGTCGGCTGATCCAGAATCTAGAAAGCAAAGTGAAGAAGAAGCGGTGATTAAACTCCTCGAAAACCTCAAAGTCGCAGAGGAGTCCAAGAAGGAAGCACCCGCCGATGCCGATGTCGATGCAAACGCTGCTCAGGAGAACGGTGTTGAGCAGACCTCAAAGGAGTCAGATGACGCAACTGCAAAAGAAGCAGAGGTAGAACCCAGCGCTAGCACAAACGGCGACAAAGATGAAAAGGCTGGAACTCCGACAGACGTCAAGCTTTACGATGTATTCTACGGGCAGGTGGTCAACCTTATCAAATCGCGTGGTCTCCCCATCCAAGATACTATGGCGCTGCTGGTTTCGCTCGTTAATCTTGCGCTGAACACGTACCCCAACCAACTAGAATACGTCGACCAGATTCTCGATTTCGCTACTCGCGAGACTGCGGAGTATGCTGACCACGCAGATTTGCACTCTGCTCCAACACAGCAGAACCTTTTACATCTTCTCCTTGCTCCTCTGCGCTCATACGTCTCGATCTTCACTGCATTGGCTCTGCCCCACTATCTTCCTCTCTTGACAGCGCAGTCCTATACTACGCGGCGGTCTGTGGCGGGTGAGATCGCCCGTAGCCTTCTGAAGAATCGGACGCTTATCGCCACTACGGAGAACTTGGACCGTGTATTACAAGCGTTGAGGGTCTTGATCAAGGAAGGCACCCAGCAAGCTATGGGACTTGGTTTACAAGCCCAGCGCCGAGGTGAGACGGATGAGACTATTGAGGAACAAGGGTGGCTTGGGCGGTTAATCCACTTGATCCAGGCTCCAGAAAATGATACCCAGTTGAAGGTAAAACGGCTGAACCTAGATCGCACTTTTTCCCTTTGCCATGGCTAACTTGTTGATAGCTACTTCAAGCAACTCGCAAAGCCTACGCCGATGGTAACGAGCGTATCCGCTACACGACCCCAGCCCTCATCACTGCTTCGATACGGCTGGCGCGTAAGCTGAAGTCCCGCGAGCATTATGATGACAACTGGCAGTCGCAGTCGTCGGCGCTCTACCGCTTCATGCACCAATGTGTCAACAACCTCTATCAACGTGTGAACCCCGGATGTGCTGATCTGGCATTACGTCTATTCGTAATGTGCGGTGAGGTGGCCGACCAGACAGGGTTCGAGGAATTTAGTTACGAGTTCTTTGCGCAAGCCTTTACCATCTATGAGGATTCCATTAGCGATTCCCGTGCTCAGTTCCAGGCGGTCTGCATTATTGCTGGCGCTCTTCATGGGTCCCGGGGATTCTCCAAGGAGAATTACGACACGCTCATTACTAAGGCCGCCCTGCACGGTAGCAAGTTGCTTAAGAAACCCGATCAATGCCGAGCGGTGTACCTGGCCAGCCACCTCTGGTGGGTTGTCGAAAACCCACAGCGAAACGATGACGATCCTAAGAACGTATGTTTTCGCCCCGATTAACAATTTCAAGGACAACCCAATTTTTTATTCAACAAAATGCTAACTGGTCAACAGCTCTACCGCGACGGTAAGCGCGTTCTTGAATGTCTCCAACGTGCTCTCCGCGTTGCTGACGCCTGCATGGACACCGCCGTGTCCGTCGAACTCTTCGTCGAGATCCTAAACCGCTACGTCTACTACTTCGACCAACAGAACGAAACCGTAACCACCAAATATCTCAACGGCCTTATCGAGCTCATCCACTCTAACCTGCAAACGGACGAAAACGAGCCAAACCCCAGCTTGGAGGGTCCCAAACGCCACTTCCAGCGCACCTTGGATTACATTCGGTCAAGAGAGTATGAAGGTGTTGTGACGGAGGCTAAGCAGTGAGAATGATTGTATGACATGATGCGTGTGTACTTGTTTCTTCTCTATCTTTATTCCATTTGAGTTTCCTTTCCCCGATGAAATACCTGTCCCGCCTGTTGTCCGTGTCTCGTCTCTCTCGTCTCTCCTAGCATGCAAAACCTGTAAGATTCCCTTCTTTCTCTCTTTTAATCCACAACCCCGTCTTATTGTGATACGATCATTTAGGTGTATTATCATCTGTTGTCCTTCGTCAGACTATCATACCCAATATTCACTTTTTATTATTGTCAATATAGAATTTGACCAGTTAAGCAAGAAAAATTCGACCAATGAGTGAGAGAAAGGGCTAATATTCCACGTGATCACAGTAGTTTACTTTGTAACTTGGTAAAGCTCCTTTCGATGCAGATATCTCCTTACAGCAGTAGCCTGGATCAGTAGTCTACTAGTAATTATGACGAGAACAAGCATGGTGAGATCAAATCGATCGTGCAATTGTTTGACACGGAGGGACGTTTGCTCCATGGGAATCTCTGCAATAAGCCATACAAGACATGATAATGCCTGTGCGCGAGGATTAACTCGAACAGGTTAAAAAAAAACACACAAGAAGATATGATAGGACGAAGAAGAGAAGAAAAAGAAAGCGAGAACCATCAAGTGGGAAACCGTATGATAAAGACGTGAAACACATGACATGATGACGCTTGGACAGAGGGGGGGGCATTTCAGCGATCAATCATTCCCAAACCGCAAGTAGTAAAAAAGTAAAAAACAAAAAAAAAAAACAAAGATTCCCCATTTCCAGTGGTAGATAGAATTGAATGCTGTGTGATAAAGCCCCGGTAACGCCTAGAACCCCGTGGGAGGAGAAGAAAATTGTCGTAGCACTGATGGTGTACTGCCGATGCCGCCGAATGCCGGTATGCTACTGCTTGGAACAGGACTGCCGATTTCACCGGGCACAATGCTGCCTCTGTGGCCTGAGGCTGCACTGTTGGTATCTGACTCGAACTTGACATACTCGCCGGTCTCATCGCTCTTGATTAAGAATGAGCCACCGCCGTTTTGTGTGTTGCCTTCCGTGTCGCAGATGTCGAGCATCTCTTTGAGCGAGATGGAGGGCTCGTTTGGAGGCCGGAGCTGGTCAACCTGGCGAAGAACATGGTTCACGTCATGATAACCAGCCGCGCCCTTGGAGGGACTCATGGTGGTTAGTTGCTTGCAGGCTTGGATCACCAATAGTCGGATAGCAACAGGTCGCGACGTGTGCGCACGATGATGACCTCCGGACCCAAACGCGTTGTTCGACCAACCGCCCCCTGAGGTTACCGTTAGCAGTGAAACATAAAAAGATCGCTGGCCTCTGTTACTGACCGTGAACAGTTCCCCAAGTCGAGGCGCCGGGGAAAGCAGAAGCCCCAAAGGGGAGTTGTGCTCCCCACGTGCTGCCGCCTACACCAGGATTGACAGGGAAATTGGTGTGTTTCGGTGCTGTGGAAGTGTTAGTGCTTTCTGCTATTGAGTCCATGGTGGGCTAATACTTCGACGGTTAGACTTACCACTAAGAGGATCTGGGAACAACGAGGGTGCTGCAAAGCTGGCTCGTGTCGGTCCTGGTAGAGACCCCGGTACTGTTGCACCAGGGAGTGACTGTGACAAGTTCGACGTAAAAGGAATATCAGTATCATCAAGAAGGGCACTGCTACCCAGCTGGGCACTCAAACTGTCCATATGCCGCTGCATAGTGTGGTTGGTTTCACCCTGTTCCTGCTGAGTACTAGACGGACGCTTGATGAGGCTCGGTCGGGAGATAGAGAACGGTTGGGCATGACTATCCAGGGGAGACCTTTCAAATGAGCCTGAGGGTTGTCGGGTATGTCCGTGTGCTAAGCCGCCTGGCTGGGTAGAGAATGGCCCTGATATCGGCTGTTGAGAATGGAATGGGAGACCGTGGCCTGGATCAAGCGGGAACCCTCGTCCAGGGGGTATCGGACGGGCTCCGTTTATACCTGGGGGAGGCACAGGGATTCCATTAGGTGCAGTAAAACCTCGCAGTTGACTCATGAGAGGCGTAGAATGCGGTGGATACGTAGGCAGTTCATGACCAATTGGCGGTCGAGAGACAATCCCAGCCAAACCAGGGGGATTCGGCGGTAGCCCATTCGAGAATCCGGGCGGAAAAGATCTCCCTAGCGATCCAAGTGGCGACAGTGGTGTTGAGGGTTGGGGATGATGAAGCATGGGTTGCTGAGCGTGACCTTGTTTGGAGGTTACACTCGAGGCCCCGGACGACTGGGTTGGCGCCATCGACCGTGGAGAGATAGAAACTTGCGATGGTTCGGTGCTGGCCGGTTGAGACCGCGGAGAAGATGTGTGGGAGTCTTGCTGGGATGGCTGACGGGGCTTGATAGGAGTAGGCGCCTTGGGTACAACTGGTGTAGCAGCTTGATAGTGCGGAGATTGGAGGTGACTGGGAAGACCTGGATAGTGCATATTCGATGATATAGGTACCGAACCTTGTTGCGATGAACGCTTATGCTCTTGAGGTTCTTGCCCGGCCTTCCTTGCTTGCTCCTCACGAGCCTTGCGCTCACGCTCCTCTTTCACCTTCTTTTCTCTCGACTCACGTTCCTCCCGCTCCTTTCTCCGGGCCTCTTCACGCCGTTTCTTCTCTTGCTCCTTCTGCTCCCGTTGCTTTCGTTCCGCATCCGCTTGTCGTTCTCTTTCTTCGCGCAGCCGCCGTTGTTTATCTGCTTCTTTTCGCGCACGCTCCTCCTCCTGGGCCTTCCGCTCGGCTTCTCGCTTCTTCCGTTGCTCTTCTCGCTTCTTTCTCTGTTCCTCTAACTTCTTCTCATGCTCAGCTTTGGCTGCGGCTTCCTCTGCGGCCTTCTCTGCTTCCCGTCGTGCCTTTTCCTCGTCTTTGGCTTGTTTCTGGAGACGTTTCTTCTCTTTCCTCTTCTCCGCTTCTCGGGCTTTCTTGGCATTTCGCTGTTCGTTGCGGGTCTGCTCCTCCATGAGCTCTTCTATCAGCTTTTGCTGACGTTGCTCAGCAACCTTCTCTCGGTAGGCAGTTAATACGCGCTGTTCGAACATTCGAGCTGCAAAAATCTGGAACATTCGCCGGCCTTCCTCCATCCGTTGCTCCTCCGTCATAGCATCCTGGGAACAATGTGTCAGCCTGCACTGCAACACGTTGTCGGGGAAATAGTTGACTCCAGGACAGACCATCTCGTCCTCCTCATAGTCTTCTTCCTCTTGACTATCGTAGTCGTCGTCCTCTTCGTCATCATAATCCTCGTCGTCATAAGGACCATGATTATGACCGCTATGGAGGGACTGATGTGCTGCGGCTATTCCGTACTGCGTATCTTCCTCTCGTTGCATTCGACGTTCGGCTAGTTGCTCCATCATATCGATAAAGTGCTTCCCATCATTTTTTAAGAGATCGTCTGCAACCGTGAGAATCCCGTCTACGTCAACATAAAAGTGAATGAAATCAGCCCGCATGCTCTAGAAAAAAAAAAAAAAAAAAAAAAGAAAAGAAAGACGAATCGGCGTCGATTTTGTCTTACCTTTGACAGTTAAACTGTTCCCAAAGGCAAAGAAATCTGCGCGAGCTGCACGCGTTTCTTCGTCTTCGAAATCATCATCACTGTACGGTTCATCGTCCTCATCATCCTCATCGTAGTCTTCTTCCAAATCTTCATCATCTTCAGGCAATTCGTGAATGCGACCTCGTGAGGGGTGATATTGACCATGTGTCCGAGTATGTTGTCCGGGCGATCGCAACGGTGGTTGATAGAGTCGGGGTGGGGGGACAATCGGTGCGCCTTTCTCGAAAGATCCTTGATTATTGTTGGCGTATTGTTCCAGCTCTTCATAGTAGGCATCGTACAGCACCTCAAGCTCTTCTTCGATCGCCGTTCTCTTCCTTCCACATACGGTGCAGCTGCACGAGTGTTTCTGCTGCTCCTTCATCTTCCTTAATACCGCATCCTTTTCCACTTTGACCAGCTGCCTTCGTTCCTCCTCGCCTAACTCGAGCCAGAATGTTTTGATATTCTCGCGTTCTTCTTGCGTGGAGGTATTCCATATGCTGCGATCTTTGGGCGGTTTGACCATCGTGCGCGGGCCCAGATGCGGCGGGAGAGGCGGCGGAAGAGGGTGCGTCATGCAGACGGAGGGGGTGGATTGTGGAGTGGAGCTTTCATCACCAAGAGTTTGCGAGTTGGCACGGTTTTTCTTTCCTTTCTTCTTTTTCGATTTTCGACTCGTCGATTTGTGATCATCGGTGCCATTCGTGTCCGGCTGGAAATCTTGATGCGCGCTGCAAGCGTCTAGTTCATCATCGTGATATGCGTCTCCATTCGCAATGTGGTCGATCTCCGGTTCATCGGATATGTGACTTCCTGGCCCAGCGGGACCGAGACCGTTTCGGTCTGCGGCGTCCGGGAGTACGACTCCGTTTTCTACCTGGCGCTCTGCGGCCAAACGAGCGGCCTGCTTCTGGCGGCGTTTCTGTTTCTTGCGGTTCACGGTCATAGGCTTCGTATCTATCAACGATGGGGGAAGGTTTTCATTCGGAATGTGAGTGTCGCCATTGGTGGGGCGTGGAAGTGCACTCAACATATGATCTGACATTGTGGAGCTAGGAGGAGATCGGGGGGGACGCGGAGGAGCCATGGGATCATATGTTTCCTTTTGTAGGTCTAGACAGATGGCGTAGGATCTTCTAGCTTTCTTCCAGCCCAGCCACCATGCTAAAACGTTGCGCGAACTGGTCAGAGGAAGGACGGCTTATATAATCGTCAATGATCACTCAAAAGCTCACCAGCAATCTCTCTCTAACGAGTCCGATCTGCTTATTTCCGGCGGGGGAACAAAAGGGGACAATCAAACTCCCAGTCCGAGTGATTCTGGTGGAAGTAAACGAGTGGCGGGTGGAGAGCAAAGGTTCGTCAAGGTCAGACGCCAGGCCGACAAAACGGGGAATGAGGGCGGAGAGGGGTGGAAAGGACCCGAGCCGCACAGCGAGGGGGCCCAGGCGTCAAGGGCGAACGGAGGGGGGAGGCCAATGTGGCCGGAGAAACTTAGGGTATCAAGAAGGGGGACGGACAAGTCCTACGCTGGTCGTCGGCGAACAAGCGCAACCAAAGCGGGATAGTGAAATTGGTTGAAGATGATGGGCGTAGATTTGGACGGTGGATCTTGACGCCGGACTTTGGGCTCTGGATGGTTGCCGTGCCGCTGGCCGCAAGAGGATAGCCGCCGCAAGCGAGATTGATGGCCTGAGAACTCAGGCACTCATGCCAGACCATTATCAGGATCCCATGTGGTCATTCTGCCGGGCGGTAGGTAAATAGCTGCACATCATGTGATCTTCACGCTCATCAGCGTCATCAACACCCATTTGGATTCTTATTGAGTACTATTAGTACTACCCATACGGTTCCTTTTTTTTTTTTTTCTTTTCTTTTCTATTGGTTCACAATCATTAGCTAATATTCAATAATATCGGAATTTTAGAATATACAACGAAAAAAATACTGACCGACATGGGTTATAGCCCTATAACCCATGTCTAGATAGTACCTTCTTTTTTATTTTTATTTTGATCTTGATTTTATTTTATTTTATTGAAATTAAATTTTGTTTGAACGTTACAACTCGGTGGGGAAGTTAGTTCCTGATCCAAATTATTAAGTTCAGCGATATGCCGTCGACCATTATAGAAAAACCCACGGCTGATCCTGAACATAAATGAAGTATATGACGGAAGAAGATGAGGATGGATGATGAAGATGAAGCTCCCTCACACGGATATCAAGAGGTTTCGGCAACTCCGGGGAAAAAGAAAGACAACATCCCTTCGGTCTATTATTAACCTTGGATCCGAAGCCCCCCCCCTCCTCCTCCTATCGGCTGTCGCATTGCATTCCTCCACTGAAAGGGAATAGTGACAGCGACTATACGGTAATTATGAACGTCTAGCCGGTCGATGTCTGAGACAAACCTCTAACCTTAGTAACAAGTGGATTGACCTTGGCTTTGCCCTTTCAGCTGTGACATCCACCGGCCGATCTCATCCTTTGCGTTGATTATGGAACGATGGAACGATGGACGATGGACGATGGACGAATAGCTATTAATATCAGTGACCGGTTCTAAACTTCTTCTCTTCCATGGTCCTCTTCTATTTAAACATTGACTGATGTGACCTTCGAATCCTTGTGGAAAGGCAGTGAAAGTGTGTGTATATGTATTGTTTTGTTTTGTTTTTTGAACCAAACGTTTCCCCTACTTCTTTCAATCCATTGATTTTTTTTTTATTATTATTATTATTCTTTATTCTTTTGGCCTGACTTGGTACCATTACCCGTAAGTAAAAGAAAACGGAAGCAAAGAGGACCCGGTTGGAACCAATCATAAAACTCAAGTGGCCCCCTGTCAAGTCCCGTGTAAGTGTAATTAAAGCGGATCTTCCCATTCATTACCCATACTTCCGTACAATTGGATTGAATTTCTTGACAGAACCAGACCACATCCTTTCTTTCCTTTCAACTTTCCTCTCCCCCCCCCCCCCCCCCCCCCCCCCCTTTTTCTTCCTTCCACCCAAAGTCTGGCCGATCAATCTAATTGAACCTGTTAGTCTCCTCAGCCTCACCTCGACCGCCTTCCAGAACCACCGGCTACTGGTCTTTTTTTCCTCCCCAAAAGCCCATCATCTTCAATCATCATCTCAGTTACTACTTAACTAGTTACCTTGTTCGGGGGAGGGGATTCCGCAACAATTTATTGTCCCCCCTCTTCTTTTAGGCTGCTGTCAAAAAAAAAAAAAAAACATCACCCGTCCAAGCCCTTCCGTCTACAGTGATTTACTACAGCTGGTCCGGTACCTGAAAGTCCAAAGCTCCGACCAGGGCATATCAGCGCCCACCCTCCACTCAGGTCGCGTTCCTTATCCCCCTTCGTTCAGCGCCCCGTGTTATCTTGACGAAGGGATTCCGAAGTGTCAGCCCACGTAGAAAATGGCCCAACAACAAAATGACAATGTGATGCGAAGGTATGTGCGACAATGCCTCCACAAGCGGAATGGACCTTGACGTCCGACTATTCATTGCTTCACTTTGCTTCACTTTTTTCTTTTCTTTTTTTTTTTAAAAAAAAAAGTTGAATTCTCCTCGTTCCATGCGCTCTCAAGACGGTCACTTCTGTTGCGTCCCTTTCGTGGCTCGGAAGTCGAAAGTGGAGCTCGTGTTCGATTTTGCTTATGATGCTAATATGAGAATTACCGTAGGAAGTTGGTGATTATCGGAGATGGTGCCTGTGGGAAAACTAGTTTGCTGAGTGTCTTCACCCTCGGTTATTTCCCGACTGTAAGTACTGCCTGGATTACGCCGAGTTCGATAAGAATGCATAAGACACAAGCTAACTGTTGGGTTCTGTTGACAGCATTATGTCCGTAACCCTGTGCCCTCTCAATTATGGTTGCTGCCTAGTGCATGGTCTGACTGTCGCGCGTGTTGATCCAGGTCCCCACGGTTTTCGAAAATTATGTGACGGATTGCAGAGTTGATGGCCGGTCGGTACAATTAGCATTATGGGATACAGCTGGCCAAGAAGACTATGAACGGTTGCGTCCGCTAGCATATTCCAAAGCGCATGTGATTCTGATCGGGTTCTCGGTGGATACTCCGGATTCCTTGGAGAACGTCAAGCACAAGGTGGGTGCCTCACTTTCCCCGCCACTTGTCGGGTCAGACTCACCTAAATCAATCGTAGTGGATCGAGGAGGCCAATGAGCGGTGCCCAGGTGTGCCGATAATTCTAGTTGGCTTGAAGAAAGATCTCCGTGATGACCCTCTCGCGATTGAGGAGATGAGAAAGAAGTCCCTTAAATTCGTCACGTCGAAGGAAGGGAGTGATATTTCGACCCAAATCGGAGCCAGAAAGTACCTGGAATGCTCCTCCTTGACCGGGGAGGGGGTGGACGACGTCTTCGAGGCCGCTACTCGTGCCGCTCTTCTCACATTCGATAAGCGTAAAAGCTCATGCTGCATCGTGCTATGATGGATGACCCATGACTTGTGCTATATATGTCGACTAATGAGGTTCGGCTCAATGGTCTGCCAGTAGCGACGGGAATAATCATGCCGACCTGGACATTATCAGTATGTCTAACGGACTCCATCTGGCCCACGCGTTCCGTCGAGTTTCTTTAGATTGGATTACCAAACGGGAGGAGGGTAAAATCATCGGTGAATGTTGATCGACATCTTTTGCATTACCGGCGTTTGGGTGGCCTTTTTTTACTCTTTCCTGATTTGACACAACACCTTCTGTTTTGCGTCCGTCGCATATAACTCATCTTTTATATGGATCTTTTCTTTTCTTTTCTTCTCAAGACACGACGCATGTTGATTTGTTTCCGGAGTACATCCTTTGGTGACTTTCCTTTATACCCGAGTGCACTCCGACGTCCCTCCTTTGGTATGATACCTAGCCTTTTGGCGCATGTTTTCCGCTTCGTTATGAATGCTGTCTCTCCTTTCGTTATCTTCTCTTCTACACTATGTCTTCTCACTGTCTGTCTAGCTCATTCTCTATCTTTAGCGATTGATATTTCCTGCTTTACCGTCAGCCATGTTGATACTACCAATAGCTGCCAACCTGCAATATATGTGTTACACAACTCTCGACTCTTAAGCTACCTCCCTACCCAGCTCATGCGCTAGATACCAATCGATAATTGACCGGCGATTGCCAAGCGTCTCTATACAACAAATGTGTAATGTCAAAGAAATCACAGATATTGAACAATGTTATGGTACAGTACATGCCAACAAGAATATCTTCATCCCCCCGCAATAGATAGAATAAACAAGAGATATCAAAGCCCAGCATAGATCTCCTTCCCTCTGGGATAATAAACGAACACTGACCCCTTCCAAGTTCATTTCTTCTCCATCCTCTTCCATTCATGGTTCCAGCCCTCCTGACTCGGCGCTTCAGTCTGCAACCGTCCATACTCAATCGGGAACAGATCCCTAAACACACCGCGCTTGTTCATCGACTTCCGGAACAGCTTGCCTCCATCTCCAGCTCCAGTCCGGAGCTCCTCACACGCCGCATTCATCGCCTGCCACTGGCGCTGAAGCTCCAGCTGCTCGGAGCGGCGTTGCTGCGCCTGGAACAGTTGCCAGGCACGGTGGATGGTCCAATGGCGGAGATAACGAGTACGAGAGAAACGAAGGGGACGAGGCGTCTTGGGGTGGTGAAGGAAATAACGGATCATAGCTACAATGACCTAGTTAGAACTTTTTTACTTCTCCTTTGCGAGTAATCCCAATATCATAACACAACAAAACAACTTCCACCATCTCCAATTGAAGGAGACCAATGATAGAGATATACATACTAACTCGACGATCTCCACGAGGGCCATTACCCTTCCTCTTGAGCAAGGCGTTGGTAGTCGAGAATGATCTGGCGGCCGGGGCCTGGACGGCGGAGGTGACGGGGCCGCTGGTCGATTTCTTCAGCAGGGTCTCATTGCACATGCGGATCACGGACGGCCGTGTTGATGTCTGGGAGATGGGGATCTTGAAAACGTTCGCCAGAGAGGCGAGAACGGGCGAGAGGGACCGCATGGCGTGGGGGGGGTTTGGGGGGGAACGGAGGTGGTGACGGAGGAGGAATCGATGGACTCTGGAGAGCCTTTTCGGGGAAATGCTGTCGGAGCGGAAACTTTGGGCTTAGCCGCGCGCTTATTTTTGGGACGTTGGCTTTTTTTTTCTTGGCGCTGGTTTTGTAAGTATATGTATAGGATTGTTTCTTGATTTTGTTTTATTTATTTATTTGATGAATTGTCAGTCGTAGAGGATGTGAGAGTTACATAGTTTGCTAAAACTGCTGATAATAACCTCCTAAGCTTCAATCAAGCCCAGTCGGACTGCTGGTTGCGGCAGATATGTACATTATAGATCTCTATCGAGAAACTCGAAAATGGACCAGAGATTGAGAATACCAATATTAATCTCAGCTGTACCCTCCTCAAACCTGTTCAACCACCCTATGTTATGATCGAACAAGATATTCAGGTACTGTCGGTCATTGTCCGGGTATTCCGGCCTCGGAGTCCTCGTAGGAAATATATTCACTCTGAAGGTAAACCTGTGGCGAGCAAAGAAGTCATTTATGGCCCTCGCTGTCTCCACCTGTCGATGGATCCACCACTGGGGATGCATGGACAGAAGCCGCTGTATAAGTTCATGAATCTCTCTCCTCCAGTATTCAGGGTATTGGATAAGTCTCGGGATGATCTCCGAACCTCTGATTGTGCCCAGATGAACCCCTTCCAGCTCACTATGAGAGGTCGCTGCTAGGGGGTTGGCTGGAACTTCGGACGGCGTGGATATCCTCGACAGGTCTCGTGCATATGACCTAGGGCTACCGAAGTCGGACAACAGATCTCGCACGGCATATGCTTGGCCAATGTGGCTTACGGGGGCAACAGAAGTTCTCTGGCATAAGTTGCTGCTGCTGCGGCGGCGTACCCCTGCCAATCTTTGTTCTTGTGGGAGTCGGCATAGTCGCAAATTCCGCGAATGACGAGGCATGGGAAGTTATTCATGAATCCTGCCGCTTCTGTTTCGACGCAATATACATCTAGTTCCTCCCCTAGCTTATCGCGTAGTAGACTGTCTTTTACAACCTGATTGGCAGATGCAATGAGTCCGTAGTGAACAGCAGGCTCATTGGAGCTCCGTGAAGGGCGGGGTACAATCTTTGTTGCATCACAGCTGTGACAACGGGTGGGTTTAGTATCAATATTGACATGGGTGTAATCCGCTCGGTACAAACAGTCCTCTTCATCTGGACGAGCAAAAGTGGTGGCCTTCTGTGGAAGTCTCTGCTTGATTTCGGCCAGAAAATCGATGAACCGTGGTCGGTGGATGATTGAGCATGCCGATGTGTTCGATGCCGGCCCTACTCAGCACTTTGCCATAAATAGTCGTACTGTATCACGCCTCCGTGGGTGTTAGTGGGCTTGCTGACCACAATATCCCCCAGACGAATGTCGACATTCTTGTTCGGGACACCTCTACTAATTCCAACTACCAGGCCAAAGCGAATGGAGCGGAAGCTGGAGAGCAACTGCATGGCGACTGTGGTGGCGGATGCAATGCCATACTCGCCACTGGGCAGGCATGCAATCACTATATTATACTTCCCAATACTGCCTAGAGTATAGGTATTATAACTATATTGCTGCACAGGCAGATCTTTGTGGACTCTATCCAGGAGGGTCTAGGCTGCGGTTAGAGCAGTAAGGTATAAATTCAACAGACTTTGTAATTATTATAGAAGAGGAATTTTATGGCTGTTATAGGATACTGTGTATTAATAGGGATACAAAATATATCCCGAATACTAGGTATATAAGAGAAAAAATAGTCAACTGTATATAGGACAGTAGAGTTATATAAGACTAATACTAATCTTAGCCTTGCTTATAGAATACCTATACACCGCCTATATAATACCTACAGCACAGTATTTACAAACTGTTGTTGTCCTCTGTATTTAGGGGGCCGGGGAACGACCGAACTATCTAACCTAACCGGTCAACGGGGCGGGCCACCTCAGATAGTGGTGTTAAGTGGACAATAGGGTATAGAACAATCTAAAAGGGAAACAAACAGGCCACAGCATGGCGGGGACAAGGCACAGGGGGATAGAAAACTGTACAACCTGGAAGACATGGCCGGGATAGACAGGGCTATACTTTATCAGACAAGATAGGCATACTGTTTGCAGCCATAGAAAGGCTCACGCAGAATAACGGACTCCAAGACCTGCCTTAATATGTCTCCTGGCTCCTTCGGATAGAAAAAGGTTCCCGGGCGTGCATATAAAGGTGGGAATAACTATATTATTACACCGTAGGAGCGTTTAAATGTATAATTTGCTCCCTACTTTCTTCCTTCGCCTTGGAGCCGGACTGGGTGCAGACTGATTTATCCCCGGGGAGTGAGTGAGAATGCTGTTCACCCTGCCATACCAATTCAACGTATTTATATTGTTAGTACATTTCGAAGATATACAGCTTCTCAAGCTATATCCTTATGTATATCTCATTCATGAATTCATGGCTCGACCTTGGCAAACTTAGACTAGAGTAAGTTGTAACGTCACCGCAAACCAAACTCAACCCTAGATATACGATAAACGTCAAATGCCGCAGACAAATCTACTGGATGTTTGCCTCTTCATCATAAAACTATGCAGTTATAAAATTCGTCCAATGCGATTATTATTTTTTTTCTCGCCCGAGGAACTCCGGTAATAGCCCACTATACTCCGAGTAGGGATATGTGTAGGCCCTATAATAATAATATGTATATATATAAAAAAAAAAAGGATAATAGGCGAATAGTTGCAATCTAAACAAAAACGTTGCATGCTCGAAGAACCCAGCTCGTACAAATGCTATGCCAAATTCTCGGATTTAGGGATATCACCTGATGAAACGAATAATAAAACGGATAGGAAGGTCATGCGACGATAAAGAAGAAACAAAAGAACTTCATCCTGTTGGTGTTGTAACAAGACAGACCAGCAATGCATGCAGGTTAGAAAGGTATGTCCTGAGAAGAATAGCGAGGCGTAGCCGTTCCTTGAGGGAGCAAGGCGGCAGGTAAAGTGCGACCAGGAGATTTTGACCGTTGCGCAGTCTTGCTTGAACCAATCGCTAGTGAAGACGGTATATACGAGGCTCGAGAAGTCTGACTGGAAGACGGAGATTCGTCCCGGGGAAGAAGCGATAGCCCTTGAGGACTACTGGACGAAGGGTTCTTGTCTGTGTCGGACCCTGCACTCGACGGCGGAGTGGGTTCTATGTTAGATTGGATACTCTGAGGTCGGCTGGTACTTTTCGGAACGTAGGGCTGATGTTGGATCTGGAGGGCTTGGTTCAGCTGCTCGTCTGTCCATCCGCGGCTGATGTGCACTTCATAGTGACCATGTTTCTGGCCCAGAATGGATGTCCGACACCACAAATCGGCATCCTCTGACTTTGCGAAGCCAATGACAAGCCCCTTGCTACTATCGCGCAGGTAGACCATGGATGGAGCTAGCGGGAGGTAAACGGCATTGGGCTCATTGGCGAAGATGCGGGATTCGCGATTGCGGTTTTGGTAGGAGGCTGCTTGATTGGGCGAATTGAAGCTGAGCTTGAGCTCTTGCTTCTGGAAGTAGAAGAAGACATCTAGGACAGGCTGTGAATTAGACATCATGAGATTCAGATGAACGTTGGAAAGGGTCAATAATCCACAATGAGCTTTTTCAGCAGGGTGGGAAGTTGAAACAGGATTTTAAGGAGCTGGTATGGTTTAAAAAGCCACGCTCAGCTCAGCCCCTTCGCTATAAACAGTTTCCTTTAGCGGCTCCACTTATAGGGCACCCGAGTCTCACTTGGGCACACGGATTACTACCTGGGGGCGGATTGCAATCGTCTATCCGGTCAATCAAAACGCTTAACGTGATGATGGTTTAGGGCTTGGCAATCCATTGATAGATTTAAATAGCAGCACAGCCTCGTTGTTCCACTCTCCCAACTGAAGAGAGATTCAGCTGGAAATATTTACCAAGTAACGAATAGATAATAGATAAAACACAATGGACCAAAGTTCGAACTTAAAACTCTGCTTTTCTTGGAAGATTCAGGTACTAATGGTTGAGTCATCAGATGTGAGGAATTTGAGTGAACTGCTCTACAGGGCCTGTATTCCAAAGACAGTGCACGTTAAACGCTTCAAACTGTCAAAGCCAAGATAGTAATTACAAAATAAGGTACAATTCAAGTGACAACGGTCGTGGCCCATCACATTTGATCCACAGTGTCTGGCGACGGTGCAGACGAAGGTTCCGAGATTTGCGAGGCACGCCGCCGCTCGAGGCATTCACGAAACAAACGACTCCAATACAGTGTGTCAAAAAGCCCAACAGCAAACCTCGTTCTTCTTTTCTCTTCAGCTTGAATCAGTTTAATATGACGACGTAGTGCGGCCCCAAGCATTGTCGAAGAGCTTTGCTTAACCGCAAGCACGATGTCCTGGCCGCTTGATGATCTCCAATCCGCATCAGTAGATCTCTTGTAGTTCAATATGCTCGTCAGAGCCGTCAGAAAGGTAGTTCCCCTGAGGGGGTCCGTCATAACTGATACTTCGTTGGAAAGAAGATCAAGCGCGACTCTCCTCCTTTTGATCTCGTTCACCGGTAGCTTCTCCAGCTTGTCCCCCAAGATCTGTAGAAAGGGGCCAGAACCAGGAGGAGCCAGCGTCGTATCAATCCCCGACAACAATCCATGTATCGAAAATTCGGGAGCGTAGAGGCGAACGGAGAAGGGATCCTCCAGTTCCTGCGCAATTAGCAAATCCGCATCCCGATCGGCCTGGATATACGGAACACTTACACGCAGAAGCAGTGGAAAATCGAGTTCGCTTATATAGCCTGTGGCATAGGAATCGTACATCCGCCAGGCGCGTCGAAAGCTGTTGAGATCATCCAGAGTGATCGGAGAGAGGCCGTAGGGAAGTCGATATGTACAATTCAACTCAACCAGGCCCGCCGTGGTCCTGGCAGTTGACAGTAAGCTCTTTAGCATGCCGGGCTGTGCTGGACCCAGTCGAGTTAGATTTTGATGGAATTTCCTTTGCCGGTCTTTTTTAGCTTCAAGAAGCAGCCACTCCAATTTAGTTTGCTCAACCCCAAGGCTATAAGCGATGCTTGACAACGATTGGATATCCTCATAGGTGTTGTCCACATCGTCGTACCTGTAGTGATAGACAAGTTCCAGGATGGGATCCTCATGCATCACCGAAATATTATCTGCTGCCCTATCCTTTGCTGCTGCTCTATCCTCTAGCATCTTGTGCCGAATGTATGAAGCAAGTGTCATCTTATAGGCTCGAGATTGAAACACTTCTGAGTCAAAGTCAAATGATATACTCATCCGGTCTCCATCATCGTTATCTTGTTGGTTACCGATAGTACGGCATGTATCGGTATCACGAAGCAAAACAATAGACGTAGAATCATCACGAGCACGCCCAATGATCTTCTGAGTTTCTGGAACGGCCAAAGCAGACGTCTGCTCGGATTGCGTCGGGCTTGAAGAGTTTAGTCTTCATCCTCTCAGCTTTGTAAAAGAATGTTGCCAACTTACAGCTGTACAACCTGTAATAGCAAGCTCAAAGCCTGGACTTGATCGCGGAGCATGTCCCGATACTGAGAGAGGTCGGTTTCAGTCCAAACCAGTTTGATCTTGTCAATCCATCCTTGTGTGTTGTGCTCTTTCATCACTTGAGTTGCCTGTTCCGAGAAAATCTCTAACAGTGACTTGCATCCATCAAGGGATAGCTGCAAGTCCTCGATCAATCCTTCGACCATGCATGGGTTACCTGTGCATGTATTCAGCCAGGATTGAATGTGTGTGACTGCAGCATTCACGGCGCTTATCTGGGTGCGCACTGTTTGCAAGTGAAGGCCACTGTTATTTACTTTCTGCTGTAGCGAGTGAAGGAGCCTTAGAGACTTTACTGCCAGCTCTCCTATAGCGATACAACTGGATACGAGACCAACAACTTCCATGGTGCAGACTCAATCTCCAGAAGGATGCGTATATATAAATGTGTAGATGCAGAACTCATGTTAGCAGCCGTGCGGGGTTAATTCAGTCAGTCAGTCAGTTAGTCAAGAGGAGCACAGCCTCGCTTCAGTTATCGCCCCCATCATGACAAATAAAACTGCGACTTGGACATGATGTATATTACACTAGGGTTATATCTTCGCAGGACAAATGTATATAACAAAGAATAAAACATAACCTGTCAGGAACAACTAGGGTAAACTAAGCGGAGCTACCTGAAAGATAGTACTAACTATCTACAAGTTCATCTGCGGTATGGTCAGCATCTAGAAGTTTTCAGCTCCATTTGAAACTGTCCGAGTATTACTGAAAGAAAGAAGATAAGGTGGGGTCTCTATGCCCTTTCTCCGCTAGTATTCTACAGTAGGAGATTCCCTACAGGGCGCCAAATACCGGGGCCTCTGAACAAATACCTGAAAAGGCAGGCTAAATGAGCAGCCCTAAAACAGTAGATCCGAGGAGGGCCACATGAGCGACTGAAGGAAGGTTTCCAAACTGGAAGTGCAGACTAGATATATAGGGCAAGTAAACTGAGTACCTGGGAATATACTTATTTGTCACTTGTGCGAACGCATTGAACCTATTCTAACTCGCCATATTCTCACGAATAAAAACCAGCGTCCATCCATTTGGAAGCCACAGCTAGTCTTTAATTACGGCCTACTGTGTACAGTGTCTCGTGCCTTTCTTGGTGTGCTCTGTTCAGGGGTCACCACCAGACTCCGGTCGATTTGAGTGGCCTTTTGTTGATATCGCCACCTGAGCTTCAAATAAACATGGCCAATGAAGATGCTAGGCCTCTATTTCGTCTCTTAGCTTCTCGCAGTTGAGAATCAAAAAGGCTGGCATACTATCAGTGAACTTGTGTTGTTACCAGCACTGGCATTGGTGGCCTATGTGTGCTTCACGAACAGAAAACGCCTTTTCGCGATAATCAGTCGTCTAGGGTAATCTTTCGGCTATAGTACGCCAAACCCCTTTGCAAGCTGAAAAGAAAATGCCATCTACCTCAGAAAAGGAGTCATGCAAATCAGTGGTACCTCCAAGTCACCGACAGGCAGCGTCTCCTCTGCTGGGTTCTGTGGTCGCTGGCCTGGACGAGAGATTCCCTTCAACTACTGAGATACTCCAGAACCATATGCCAATGGACAGCAATATCAAGGATCTTCATGAGACTTTTTATTCTCCCACTGGCTTCTCCAACGACGACGTGACGTATCTGGGCCGCTTTCCAGACTACGCCATGCTTAGTGGTGTTCGTTTGCCCGAGCCACAGCCCGACTTCTACATACACCTATTGCTCGACCCTAATAGACCCATCAGGTGGCCATATAATCAGACGATGGGTGAATTTATTCCTAGTATAGTGAAGCCTGTGCTCTCTCGGCTGGTCCCTCGTTTGGAGCTAGGCAAGAATATAGACGAGATTCATGGACCAGTTCCTGACTACGGGGAGAAATTGGAACCCTCTATGAATAGGTAGACAGCAGAGATGGTTTTCATTATGCTGATACCACTGACCAACATCATAGATTCTTCGCAAAGATGACCACAGATAAGCTCATCCAACGTGGATCATGGGGTATCGAGATTGATCAACCAATCCACATACCCCCTGGGAATCCAATCGCCCTTCGCCATGAAACGTAAGACCTAGATATTGCGCTGGACCGATACCACCTCCGTGTTAACTGGCAAACTCTCCGACGACTCCCGGTATCCGCTGCTGTGGTGTTCAGCTTTAAAGTGTTGTTCACTCCGGTGTCCCAATTCCAAAATGAGCCGTACATCCCTTCCCTCTTTCTAAAGAACTACAAAGAGACCAAGCCAAATTTGTTGGAGCACAAGATTATATGGCATACCGAGGCGACTATTTTCTGCCCGCACTAGAGCTCTGGGAAAGGGAACAGAAAGAGCAAGGCATCATTCCCGAAGACTGGCAACCTGCTACCTTGGATGACCACCCTCACTACTCTGGATGGAAAGAGCGTTGGGAAGCGACACAGAGGCTTTAGATAAAACACGGTATCAGTGTGGTTGCACCTTTCGGAGAGCATGATAAGAGACTAGTTTCCACATCCATTACCTGCTTTATGTCTATGGTCCGCCTTTTTCGTTGCTGTTCTTCGTTTTTGATCTTTCGGTGATTCAAAGCTCCTTACTGCATGTCAAAATCGAAGACCACCTTGACTACTACGGCCCATCGAAGCATACCATGATGTAATATAAAATCACCAATGGTCGAGGCATCTGTAGAGGCTGAAGCTTATCTCGAGGTGCTCATTTTATTGCACTAATCCGGAATAGCGCCCCTCAACCCTAATCGCCAATGCGGGGAAGACCCATTGATAACGATATCGATCATTGAAGTAACAGAACTGCCACCACTAGAGCTACAAACGCAAACTGTCGTTCACTATAGCCTTGTTGCCAGCAAAGCTTACCAGAGGCCATTTGAGTCTCACTATCCTTACCGCTCAATAATGCTTGCCTTCGATATCTCCCCTCCAGCGGCCGGAAACCAGTGCCCAAAGAAAAAGCCATGGAGAGTCAAGGGTAATATCTTCAGCCAGGCGAAAGATGCGATATACTCATACCCTCTACAGGTTGCTATAACTGCTCCCAGCGCCGTCTTAACTGTGACCGTGGCACCCCATGCCAGAAGTGCGTCAAGAAGGGGCTCCAATGTTCCGGTCTCGGGGTACGATATCGGTTCATAGATGGAGTTGCATCGAGAGGGAAGTTGGCAGGGAGGTCGATGCCTGTGTCAGATACAAAGTGGGACCTACATTATTGCTCTGTTGGTCGGGCACTGTTAATTCTTTCATTCAGTAGTTCTGGCGCATCACTCCAATCACCGGATCGCTTAACAGTACACCCAATGTCCACCAGTTGCCATAATACCAGCTCTCCGAGGGATGAGGGTCAGGGACACAGACAACCATTTCGCTTTCGAATACTAAATAACGACGTATTATCACACAAGTCGAGCAATTCCTCCTTTGGGCCTGCCCCGTCTCATGGTTTGGATCACATTGACCACCAGTCTCGGTTTCTACTCAAATACTGTCAGTCCTTTGTTCCTTGATTGATTTGTCGTGGGTAAATTCTAAGTGAAAGCAGTTTCGGAAAAGGTTGCACCAGCAATGGGACCCTTCAACACCGTCTTCAACGGCTATCGAGATCTAATTTTACCTATGTCAGAGCAAGACCATACCGTCAAAAATGCGGTTTTAGCCGCCGCCGCTTCGCATATCTCCTTAAAACATTGTGAATGGAAGCCACTAGTTTCCAGGTATCGAATGGCTGCCATTCGAGGGCTAAATCAGCGGAGTATCACAGAAGACCTGAACAAGTCGATCGATTATTCGAGTCTATCAACTATGGTCCTTCTTCTTGTAGAGCAGATGATCATAGTGGGAACAGACTTTCATATTCTCCTTCGGATGATGAAGAGCTTCATAGAATCACAGCAGTGTTCGGACATAGTCGAGACGGAACCTCTAGGAATATTTTTGATGCAGCAGATAAGAAAGTACGCACAGCCTTTCTATAACCCCTTTGAACCGTATGCTTACAGCTATACCATAGGATGTCTCTATACGCAGGACCCTTAGTAATGGGTCTTTCCGCGGCTAAAAGTCTTGAAAACATGTCCAACAAGGACCTGGATTTCTTATTTAGCTGCCTTAAGATCCACCCAGAGTATTCTTCGGTCATTTTCAAATTAGCAAATCTCATCCGTATGGCAGCTCAAATATACTTGAGCCGGGCAACCAATATGCCAAGCCAGGTCATCACAGAACTAGTCCAACAGTTCCTGGCAGACACCGCTTCTTATAACGCAACTTCACCGGGAGGTCACATTTTAATTTGGCCATTTTTTATAGTCGGGGCAGAGTGCTCGTCCACGCAGGACCAGGAGTTTATCACCATGCAGTTACAGAATCTTTGGGATTGCACGGGCTTTGGAAGCCCGCTTTATGCAATCAAGCTACTAGGAGACATATGGCAAGAAACTCCAGGGACAAATTGGACGCAGACGTTGGTGGATAAGGTGGAAGGGTTCATTATGTGATCAGGACATACTCTCGAAATCCTGTTACGCCAATAGTGCCTAATCTAAAGTCTTCGACCTCAAAGGTCATTCATATTTCAGAACAGGCTCCTTTGTTGTGTACCACGCTAAGCACATTCTCGTGACTCGAAGCCTTTCTCAAGGCCTAACTGGAAACCAAATTAGGTCAAGGGTACACCACATCTCTTAGCTTCGAAGATATGATTTTGCAGATTCTCCCCAAACCGCAGCCCGTTTATAGAAATGAAAGCCAGGCGCGTTCCCCTGCTTCAACCCATCAATTGCCTCGGCAAGGACCTCACCGAGCCCTTCTTCCTTGATTTCCGGGAGTGTATACAAAAGGGTTTTAAATGAAAAAAGTATAGCATGGCTTTGGGGCAAGCGGTGCAGAAATTGTCTCTCGACACGGAGACGGGCCTAGCGGTCTGTAAGCCCACAGTTGACGCAGATAGATCT